TCAACGTCGAAGCCAATAAAATTTTAGGCTAACGGGTGCAGATTAGTCAAAAGAACGCTAAATTGTGTATTTCCGAGTTTATTTTACGTGTTACCCTTTATGGAATAACTGATTCTTTGCATTGCGTTTAGGTTGGTTTCTCACCCGCGTCCTGCTGACGATGGTTAATTTTCTGGGTTACGATGCTTTATTATTCTTAACTTAAGAATCTTAAGTGGTAAAAGTGAATGGTGGTTCCGAGGTTGTACGAAAGGGTTGGGCTTTTTACCATATTTTTACGACGTGCCTTGTGACTCACAAGTTGTGGATCATGCAGAAAAGAAATGCCTGATTTCTTTTCGAGTCGGATAAAAATATGTATGTATTTATTTACCAAGCGGTATGGGCTGTGCAGCATGAACGTAATCTAATGTCCAACAAGTTTTATAACCGAAAATGTATGCGTGCATAATCCCGACATATTTATTTAAATTCATTAGATTGGTGTTTTGAATGAATATTTGTTGAATTTCGATTGATTTTGATTTGAATTCGTAGCTTTTGTTTTGACTCCTGGGTAGTTTTCCGGGAGATTTTCGGGATAAGGGTCTTTAACGTGTGAACTTTTGTCCTTTTTTTGGCTTTTTTTGAAATTTGTTTATGATGACCCAACTCACATTCAGCGTTTATGCCACTCTCGGTGCTCAATATTTTTGCTAAAAAATTTTGCTGGAGAATGATGGGATTTTTTGTCCAACAATTGAGCATGTTTTCAGTTAGCAAGATTATTTTTCTTAGTGAGGCAAATACCTAACAACGAAAAAAATTAACTAAGTATGCATTTACCCCACCCAAAAAAAGTGAAATAATTCTATTTCTCGGCCATTTCTGAACCGATTTCGATGAAATTTGGGGCCAGATCATTGTTACGGAATTTAGAAACGATGTGCAAGTCGACTTAGCGATTTTTTGATTTTGACCCGAGTTATGCCCCAAAATGTGCAAAAATTTTCACTCGTAGGCACGTTTCTACCCATTATTCCATTTTGGAGCATAACATAATCCTAAGTAATTGCAAAAAGGTTACACCAACTCGTTCTGAACATTTTAAGACCAAGTTGACCGAAATCGGTTAAAAAATGACCACGATATTCAATTTTGAAAACTAAAAATTTACTAAAATTACTCTGATGTAAATGTAATGGCGGTGGTGTAGTGCAAAAATGTCGTTGACAACCAATTACAAGTTTTAAATAAACAAGGTCCCAAAAAATGGGAAATCTTAGTGAGGCAGTGCAATCACAACTAAAATTAGATTGCAGAATGTTTGCATCACCGCTCTCGGTACCATTTTTGCTGGAATAATTGTGAATTTTCTTTGCATCCGCATGAATTCTTAAATCTTAACTGGAGAATTCAGGGCAGTTTCATACTACACATGACGTACATAGACATATGTAATGGACGAGAAGTGTGCTAAATTAACTGAGATCAAATATAGGTATAATGGATTAACAATTGTGACCTATAAAATTGCTTAAAAAATTGCAAATCTATAATTTCATATATATGTATATTCTGTATTTCTCAAATCACCTTTGAGGGGGACGAAGTATTCTAAGTGATTAATACTTCCAGTATAAAATGTTACCAAGAGCGGTGATGCAAAAATTCTGCAAATCTAATTTTTGTTGTGATTGCACTGCCTCACTAAGATTTCCCATTTTTTGGGACCTTGTTTATTTATTAAAAAACTCTTCCTCGTATAGTTGCAGAAATCCATGGAAACAGGATCAAAATAGCTGCTCGTACATACATATATACAGAGCTGGGAATCAATCCGGATTAGTCAATGTGTTTAAATGGCCAATCCCAATCCCCAATCCCTGTATTCTTTAACATTGGGTAATCCGGATTGATTCCCAGCTCTGCATATATAGAAGTTTCTTTGAGAATTTCGCGAGTCCCCTCCGACCCAATTTTTTAAGCTTCGCAAGTTTGCTAAACGATTTGGGATGCGAAATATGACGTTGTCGTGAGCATGCACACTTCTTCTATATGGTTGTATACCTATGCATATATTTATTGCTAAATAAATTTATTTATTTGAGCAATGATATGCAATTTTTTAAGTGGAATATCTATGTATGTATGAATGAATGCACTTATTTAGGAGCTCAGCATAAGCAGCAAATGTTGACCTTAATTTAGCTGGCCACGCTCCCAGCTCCAAGTAACTAGTAGCAATATCAACAATTATACTCGAGTTTACCCCGGTCCGGTTTAATATCAATCCGGATTAGTGAGGATTAAGTGCAATCTGTTTATCTCGATTCATTTACATACATATATTATGTAAATAATATATGTAATAATATATTTGTATTATGTAATATGTAAATGAATCTGAAAACATTTTAATTTAGATCCAGCAAAAAAAGGCCTTATTTAATTTGGTATTGCTAAATATTAAAATATGTAAATATAAATCTTAAGAGACGTTCGTCTTCAGTTTTTCAAAAAAGAAATTATCAATTTATTCAAAATAAATTAAACTTTCGTGCATACATAATCTATTTATTCGTGCATATAACGTACACACATTGCATTTACACGCATTGTGCTTGTGAAAAATATTCAATCACGGTGCGTTCATATCAGTAAAAATACTCTCATCACTCAACTCGTATCGTGAAAACTGACAAATTAAGTAATTCGCCATCAACGCACTGGCGGAAATAGGGGTACGCAGGGTATGTCCCACGTATCGGCCCCCGCTAGGCAACGGCCCCCGGCCCTCCGACTATTATATATATATTATTCAATAATCTACAAAAAAACTAAAAATAATAATATCACAATCGGTTTCATAATTAACAAAGATTTATGAAACTAATAAATCTGTTAAACCTTAGGCCCCCAAGCGGCTATTTTTGTTTGTATAATTTTCTGGAATTACACTTAAAAATTTTCACTTCGAATGGAGTAAAATGTAACTCCAATAGGTATTCAAAGTGCTTCGACGCTGCCCGGAGTAATGCGTGTACCAGCTATGTAGTCTGGAGTAAGCGTACTTACTCCACTCAGAGCTGTAGCATGCTCCAAATTATGCATAGGGCTTGCACGACACATAGTAAGATGTTACTCTATATGATGCAATTCTGCCCAATTCTTAGTAAAAGTACACACGGTTTGGAGTATATGACCTACACTGTCTGGGGCTCGCCTTACTAATTTAAAAGCTCACCTAAAAATGGGAAAATATATATTTATTTAAGTGAGCGCTATTTATTACTTAACAACTACATATTAAGTTTTACAATCCAATTACTGTCATATGTAGATTAAAAATAATATTACAGTATGACAAAAAATGTTTGAGATATTATTAACACTTAAACAAAGTTAAATATTCTGTATAATTTGTCTAATCAACGCTGGGGAAGATCAGATTGAAAAGGTGGGACGACGTGGATCGAAATATTTGAGGTTCGAAATTCGGTAGCTTTCCATAAATCTATTTCTTTGGCAGTTCTAGGTTTCCTCACAAACTCTTTAGGGCAAGTTGGCGATAATGAACGAAGGTCAGAGTTTAATTTAGTTATCAATCTAGGAGATAATTTATAAGGAAGTGGTCCCTTTACCCAACTACGCAATAATTTACGTACCACACCTAGACAAATTAATTGCATATAATCAATTGGGACACAATTAACTAAATCAAAATCTAACTGAATTAATGGTGAAATTCCTGTATGATGATTTATATCATGCTGACTTTTGAAAGATTCAAATGTTCTTAGTGGGGCGTCAAACGATTCAAAAATAACTCTTCCTTGCCAGGTGCCTTTATCTATACATTTTTCGCACCCATGATAAGAATTATGATTTTTGCATTGCTTTACAAAACTTCTTGCCGGGGCGTCAGCTATAATCTTAGATAATTTAACGAGATATTTCTTTGAGTTTATATAAAATCCGCTAGTACTAAGCAAGGCTAATTCTTCAATGAAATCTTTAAAATACTCAGAAACATCTTGTGGTTTAGTTTTGCCATAATAAATCCCTATCAAGAAAACGCTAAACTTGCTTTGTGAACAAATTGCCTGAATCGGCCAAAATTGATTGGAATTACTTTTTGATATTGGAAGACCATCTACACTGATTGAAATATCTAATACTGCTTCAGAAGGTTCAATTAACTCATGAAGAAGCTGCTTTCTTAACGAATTCTCAAGGCCAAAATAACAAAACTGTGAACCGTCCTCATAAATATGTTTAAGAAATCTGCTTTTGTTTGCCCTGAGTAAAGTTTTATGATCGCTTGGTAAAAAATTAAATATTTTACGTTTTTTTAGTATTCGTAAAAGTTCTTGAATTGCGATCCCTGTTATATTTTGATTAATTGCCCAATCTCTAAGTTCATCTCTTAAACTAATTAAATCGTCTTCTGAATGATTCAAACTTTCTGACGAACTACTATTTACACTATCGCTAACATTATCACTCTGGCTATCAGAACTGTCATTGGTACATTCACCGTTGACTATTAAATTATTTACAACACGATTATTATTTTCTAATATATTTGCAGCATGACTTGATGAAGCATTTTGTATATTTTCTTGCACTCTTCTTGAAACGATTCGACGAATATTTCTTGGAGATGATCCCGTTCTTTCTATGAGACTCATTGTGCAATTACTCCTTTAGGAAGCGAAAGTAATCCTTCGACACACTTTCAATATCGTCGTCAGTAGCTGTATTGTGCTTTCTACGAACAGCTTCTGTAAAATACAACAGAATTATTATTATAACAAGTTGCGCGCATAGAAATGTACGTTAGTGTACGAACACAACCAATAAAATAGTTTATTTACCTTTCACAACCCCCAAGAACTCTAGTGGTTTTAGTGAAATTTTCCCCCCCTTTCCAGTCCAATTTATTTGACGAGCAAACGAAAAAACGAAAAACTTCTTGTACAATTTCCTTACATTTTTTTGAGGAGTTTTACCGCCAGTCAAAGCCAAATAATCAATCTATAAAAATAATCGAGAATTTATATATGTCGTTAACGAACGACTTGCATAACAATTTATAATTGTTCATCAAAAGCGTTCATGTATTTTGATTTTAATTATCTTACCAGAGTATCACGGTTGGCCTTTGCATCACGTATCCAGTTTTCTAAGATATCCAGTTCCTCTTTATTGTTCAGTGGATGAGTGGGGATGACGGAAAAATCAGCTGTAGGTCCATCGCCGTTTGTCGCCTTCAGATTGTGAAGAACAGATTTAATATCTTTTATGTCAATATTTTGTCTTTCCAAAATTTCAAAACACTGTTTTTGAAAGCCTGCATAATATGTAGAATAAACAATGATTGCTCATAATAATATAAATGTTGGAATTACTAATTAATGTAAAATATTTACCTAGAATTAATTTCTTCAAATCTTGTATTTCTTGGAAGGAAGTCAGCAAAATTGCGCCACCTTCCTCATTCACGAGTTGTACTTCCGAGTCGGGAGGATGATTTGGAGGAGTGGCTTGAAAAACAAATATTTGTAAATAACCCAATTATCAGGTAAAAATATGTACATATATTTAGAAAAATAAATTGTACCTTCAGAATCCAAAGTTACGCTTGGAGGGACCACGGCGATATCACCTTCCTCCTCCTCCCCACTACTGTCAGATGAAATTTTGGGTGGATTCCCCTCAATTAATGCTTGGGGGACGTTATTTCTTCGACGATGTGGGGGTTCCTCCTCGGAGTCACTCTCAATGTTGGAAGTTTCCTCTGCCACCTTCAGCTTTTCACATGCAATTTCCCAAGAGGCTAAAATAAAAATTTGTTTAGGAAATAGAAATTAAAAATAATTTAATGGCCAAGTAAATAAGTGAATACAATTACCGTATTTTCCTAAGATTTTTTCAAAATTTTGTTGTCGCCATGATGGGAGTGGGAGGGAGGAGCCTTTTTTAGACAAACTCTTTAATTTTGCTGCTGGGGGCCAACATACCACCTTCTCTGTCTCGTCAATCCATGACAGTGGTACAATTTCAACTAATTTCGTCCCCTTGACGTCAATTTGTAAAATTGAAAACTTTAATGAGTCAGACATTTTGAACACGTTGAATAAAAATGAAGTAAGAAAATGCACGCGCTCCCAAGAGAGAGCAAAACTCAATGTGGAATTTTACGAGAATTTTCTGTTGACTTTTTTGGTGGAAAACAACGGTGTGAATCTACGCTACTTCTACTATTATTTCATGCTAGGATTTGTGCCAAAACTCAACCAAATTCCCACAGTTATATTTATGTAGACTTTATTGAGGGGTTGACAACGGTGGAAATTAAACCGAGATTTATACGTGTAATTAACCATGTTTTAGTAACCGTGGTTCGTGGTAAAAGGCTACCATTTTTCCTATATATTTTCCACCAAAATTCCTGATGGGGTACCCGTTTGTATTTTGACCAAAAATTATGGAAGTAATTTGAAAATACAAATGTATTTTGGGCTCTGAAGTGTATTTGTACTTTGTATTTTGAAAAAAAAAGTATTTTGACCATCCCTGCCAATATTAGATTTCATTATAATTTTGCTATATTTTTTATTAAATTTGCAAACTTGTTTTTTAATTAGTACTACAATAAGTTTCAAATTAACTCAAGTTAGCCAGTTTATTAAAGATTTCCAGAATCTGATTTATCAAAAACTGGTCTTACCAAAATTTGAAAAAACAATTTAAAGTCCGTTTTACGAGAAATTTCTAAAATCGGAATACAACAAAACGTGATTTTTGATTTAAAATTTGTCATCTCCAATTTTTATTAATATTATGATAAATAAAACAAAATAACGCAAGGAGTATTTAATTTAAGGAATGATCGTAAAACTGTAAATGCTAAACTTCATAAAAAATTACAGGCACATATTGGTAAAAGTAAATTTCAATAGGCCCCCAATTCTAGCTCACGTACCGGCCCCCAATCTATAGTTCCGCCACTGCATCAACGCCGGCAATCATGCAGTGATTCTCAAAGTAGGTCAGGTTTTACCCTTGCATTTGTCAGCATCTCCACAAAATGACACAGTTTTAATATGCTGCTCAATTGTGGTGAAATGTCGCGATTTATATTCTTACTTGCTCTCCTAATCAATTGTTTCTTAATTTGCCACACCGACAAGGATGACATCGATATCTTATCCTTTGTGCCAAAATTATCCACCGGAACACATTCCCTCCTTGAGCCATACGTGAACAAGTATTGCGACGACAATTTCCCACCAGGTTTCGTTTACTATGGTTGCTGTTCAGAAAAGTATCCCAAATCGCACTGTTTCCTGAACGATTATAAGAGTCGGGATGCATTTTGTGAGACACAAAATTTGCAGTCGCGTCGATTCAGTTACGATTGCAGCTACTCTCTGTTTGATGCAAATTGCACGTTGCCAAAGGGGCGATGCTTCTGCTGTTCACGGTGAGTTGTTTATAAAACGTTGTTTGTAATAATGTTTGTAATAATGTAACACTGTTGTTTGTAAAAAATATTCAGGGTATTTATGATTCCCTCGTATCCTTCGTACTTATTCTTTATACCGTAAAATAAACCCTTACAAACGGATATAAAAAAGTAGCATCAGAAAGTCTTCAAACTGACACCATATCTGACAATTATATATTTTCTGACCTTTGACCTCGTCCTTAAGGTCATGAGGTCAAAAATATTAACGCCATTGAATTTGTTGTGAAATTTCCTTTAAAATTGTACCCCATATGAAAATTAAAGTTAAATTTAATCTGCACCACAACCCCTGGCGCTGTGAGGTGTGGTCCGACTGACCCCATTTTCGAACTCGACCGAGAACTAAAAATTAGAAGCACAATGGCGAAAACGGGGTTTGGTTATGTTGACTCGTTCTGGAGATATCCTGCTTACAGACGGACGGACGGACAAAACGATCACAATAAGTAGCTGACGCTACTTAATAACTTACAACTGTTCAACTGATATTTTGTAAGCGTCGAAGATTTTGTCATCAAAAAATGCGTTACTACGGTTACGATTTTTACGAAGCTGGACCAATTGTTGTTTTTTTTTCGTAAACTATTTTAAGTAAGATACTAATGATACGAATAAAATTGTCGATTGGTTTTACAGTGATGCCCCCCACGACCCTGAACACAGACCTACTCGTCCAGAACAATCGGTTAATTTGACAGGTTAACAGTTCTAAATAAATGCGTAAATACATGCTTTAGTCCGAATGTTTGGAGTTGATACGGACAAAACGTGGACAACAAATAGACGGATGTGGACAACATATACGTCGAAAAGCATTTTAGCATAGCATTTTAGCTGGCGTTTATATTTCCTCCTGTCCATCCACAAACCAACATTAGTTTTGTAAATTATAGATCCATCGTTTTGCGGAACCATCGCGACAGACCACTATTTCGGCGGGAATTACACCTTGGCCCATATAATGAAACAAAGACCATGGGAACTGCCCTTGTTCAGCTCGCTTTCATTCACCTTAGAACAAGGGACAAAGTTCGTTGACGTGATGAATCCCAATTGTCGCGTGACCATTTGTCACATATGGAAAGGCGGGAGTGCAGCGGAATGTCACCACTTTACACACGATGGACCGAAACATTACACAACGGTGAAAATTTATTTACTTAATTTCGTAAATGAATAAAAATAATACAGACGTTTTCCTGAATATTTCTAGTACAAGCAGTACGACACAGTTTCGATAAGTTGCGGTTGCATAGTAATGGCAATAAAGTAAAAACGAATTGTTCTAATTGATAGTTAAGTTTAATGATGTATGTAATTTGTCATAGAATGGAGCATTTAGTAGCAATGAATGTACAAAACCACCGGAAGATGTCGTGCAATCTGATGTATCATGCCAACCACAGAATTTAGATGGCGACACGTGTGCCGTACTTTATCAAGAATACGGCTGTCAATCCTGTAATTTTGACGTGATTCGTCTAACCGATAAGCGCTCATCCTTCACGCCGAGCAATTTCGCGGTAATTCGATCCCTTCGCGTCAACTCGGGATGCAGCGTGCGGGCGTCGGCTGTCCAAGATTTTGTCGAATTTAACGAAACGACGTCAATCGTGCAGGAAGTAAGTACAAATAGAAATGATATTTAAAAGCAGATGTTGCCATATATTTACATAATTATAATTTTTGCACAATGTGGTGATTAGTTTTTTCTCCAAAATACCACGAATACTAAGGTGTACTTGCAATTCAACACTTTCGACTGCATCTGCGGTCCAAAGACTATCATAGAAGATGGTGCGGCTGAACTTTCCGGTACGCAAATGGAAGTCGGACAGTTTGGCGAAAACCATTTTGGCGAAAAAAATTCGCCAAAACAAAATCCCATTTGGCGAAAACAAAATTTCACCCATTCTAAGGCATTTTTAGCACAAGGTTTTTAAAGTATCATTTGGCGAAAAAATGTAATTTTTGGAGAAAATTACGATTATATGAGTATGCTAAATTATAAAGACAAACCCACAAAAATTTCCCATTCTCTTTGCATTTGTAATATATTTGAACAGGCAACAATCAAGTAATTCTATGTAATATTTATAAATGATTATGTTTTTACTGTTCATTTGCCCAACAATACCCATAGCTGAATTTATCGAGCTTACCAGCAGATCAAAAACCTTCATCGTTAGTTATTCAGGATACTTATTCCCGCGGCATAATAGGCCATATAATTATCTTATAATATAAGAAAATCAACACTTTGGCGAAAATTTATTTTCGCCAAAACGGCTTTCGCCAAACTGTCTGTCAATCACGCAAATACATACATATGCAAATACTTGCAAAAAACCTATCATTGTCATTCATACATAGCAAAATTGTGAATTTGTAAGGTGGGGCCATAGCAGGAATTGTGGTCGGTTTAGTTGTCCTGGTCGCGGCAATGGTAGGCTTGACTTACTTCATGAAGGGAAGAAAACACAAGGTCAGCTTCACCCAGGAAGAGACAGAACAACTTAAGCACGAGCTGTTCAATGGGGGAGGGGAAGCAGGTACACAAACAGGACCGGAAGTGGATTTTGAAAATTCAGTCAGCATCGCCAGCAACAACAATGGACTCAATGAAGAATATTCTGTTAAGAAGCAGCACATTGAAGGTTTGCAGTACCGAATTTTGGATAGATAAATTTGAAATTGTTTGTGGTCGTTTCGGGGTATTTATGTTTATCATCGATAAGATAGTATCCAAAACTAGCTAACCAGACAGGCCATAATTTGTGAGACCAAATTGACACCCTAAATTTATAATATTCGAATAATTTCAGTTTTCAAAGATATTTTACTTGGACGTGGAAACTATGGCGTGATTTTCAAAGGTAGTCTTTTCTCGGAGTCGGATCAGCACAAGGTGGACTGCGCTGTTAAAACCGTGGATGAATTAACTGCCAGAATTGATGATTTAAAATTACTCATGAACGAAATTCGGATAATGTCCTGTGTTGGTCGACATGAAAATGTGGTCCAGTTTTTGGGATTTTATTGCAATTTCCATCCCAAGAAATGTGAGCATTATTTATATGTAAATTACATATATATACATATATAAATAATTTATAGTTCCGTGGTTATGTAAAAGTATTTATCTACTTTGAAAAAATTGTGATATTACAGGGGAATTTTTATGCTTGATGGAACTCTGCGTGGAAAATTTGCACAGTTATCTTCTTCAGGCTAGGAATTGTCAGAAGGCTTCAAACTCCACGATTAATGCTCACTTGCAAAAGGAGGGATATGTTCTTTATGAAGATCCTGAAACAATTGAAGAAACGTTAGTAAAAATGAAACTTACGCAATACGTAATTCAGATTCAGAACATACATATTACATTTTTGTTGTGAATCTACATAAATACTTAAGAATTTAAATGGTTTTCTGGGCCTTCCCTAGAAATTCACTAATAGTAAAATTATTATGTAGTTCCACAGATTTATGAAATGACTTAAATAATTTAATGCACTTATACACGCTGAACAAAGTCGTGTAAAATTTGCTCATGGTTGAGTAAAATGGAGGATCACACAAAAATTGGGCAATATATGTCCAACCGTTATGTAAATTTTACCCGATTGTTGTGTCAACGTACATATTTTACTCTACCCTGAGTAAATTTTACACAACTTTATTCAGGTTGTTATACATAGTTAATGGGTAACGTATTTTCGATTAATTTAGGAGTTCAGGTCCACCCCCGGTTCCTCACCTGGACGCACCGTCCGTCACAATTACGCAGACAGAGATTCGAAAATGGTCAGCCGAAATTGCAAGTGGGATGGATTACTTGACGATGAAAAATGTACCAAAAATTATTTCCATATTAAAATTTATGTATTAGAGAGATTTATTTATAAGACATTGACTTTCTTATTTAGTTACTCCATATTGACCTTGCAGCTCGAAATGTCCTCCTATCTAACTGCTAAAATCAGTGATTTTGGATTGTCCAAAAAGTTGTATGACGCCTTGTATTACAAAAAAGTTCAAGGAGGCCATGTGAGTTATCATGGGAGATAAATTTCGAAAAAATGTAAGTGGCATACATATTTTAAAATAATTTGTTCCCAGATTTGGATTCCTGTTAAGTGGAGTAGCTTCGAGTCGCTGATGGGGCTCAAGTTCTCGAAAGAATCGGATATCTGGTCGTACGGGGTGACAATCTGGGAAATCTTTAGCCTGGCGAGGAGCCTTATCCGGACCTGGGTGAGATGGTGGACCTTATCAGATTCCTTAATAGTGGAGAAAGACTCCCATGTCCGAAGTCTTGTGACGATGAGACGTAATTTTTTTCACATTTTCTTGGAGTCGTAATACACATATGTTGATGTTACAAACTAAATTTTTAATTTTAGTTATGCTCTGATGAAACAATGCTGGGAAATGGATCCAACAAAAAGACCCAGTTTCAACGAGATTGGAATATTCTTTAAAAACTTTGGAAAAGAAAATGATCCCCGTCTGTTAAATATTTAATCAATTCAAATTTGTATATACTAATTATTAGTATCGTATGTACATAGATGATATCACAATACCTCATACATATTCATGTATTGAAATATACAGAGATTTTGTAGTTCCAGGAAAGGTTTTCAGTACAAGGCAATGACCTACCAATTGTGTGCATGTTTATCCTAACGCATCCTAACGAATTTTTAATGACAACAACCAATTTTCAGGATAGGATTTAAAACCACAATTACAGTAATAATGAACTTATTGTGCTTTCAACTTTCTTTGTACTATACATACATAAAGCGGCCATACATAACTGTTTAAATTTTTGCATAAACAAATCAAATATTTAATTCAGAAATGTATGGGAACAATTATGTAATTCTTGCTTTATGATACATATATATTCTTAAATTTTAAGTAAACAACAAAAGTAGTAACCTAAAAATATTTCATACTGAAGTACAAAATAAATAACGGACAACAGACAAAAGTAATTTTATGAGCAACTCGTACATACTTCTTGTAAGCATAACATTAACTTACAATGCGCATGTCACACATGTTTCTCACGGATTTTCTTAACACCAACATGACACGTCACATACTTAGGATTAGTAAAAATTGCAACATCTTGATCTGTCGATTACGTATATTCATAAGTATGTTAACTTTTCTAAAATATGAACTCGACAATGGTCTGCTAATTCCTTGAAGGTGAAAAATTTCTTCCCGCAGAAGTAACATCCATGCCGCGCTGCATTGTGACGCATTTTATGACTCGCCAAATTGGCTTTCGAGTGACTCTTATACTCGCATTTGTAGCAGGAATGGATCAGATCTTTACTCGTGGCATGCTTCGCTTCCACGTGACGCTTCAAATCTGATGAGTTGGGGAATCTTTGGTCACAAAATGTGCACGGATAATTCCTCCGATTTTCATGCGCAACTCGGATGTGGCGTTGTAGATCGTGCCTCCATAAGAAGGTCTGCGGACAGACGGCACACTGTAACATGGTTCGGGTAGATTTTTCCAAGTGCGTCGTCGTCGTTAAATTATGTATTAACTTTTCACTTAAACATACACTCTAAATAATTCGGAGACAAATTGTCACCTGGAGGGTTTATATATAGTGCTCTATTTTTGAGTAATGACTAAGGAGACGTTTTGTTACCAAGGGAAAATAAGTCAAAGACATGTGACGCCATTAAGTATTTAAAAATTAAATACGTTCACGTAAAAAAATCTTATATTCAGATAAAGATGTTAAGATTTTTAATAACGATGCCACGTGTGTTTGGTACACGAGTTTTTGACTTTTTCCCCATTGGTGAGAAAACACCTCTTTACTCATTATCCAAAAATAGAGTACTTCCGCTGGTAATAATTTGTCTTCTAATTATTTTGTGAGTTTTCAAACCAATTTTTCAAATTATATAGAGCTTGCCTCGTGACGTTTCACGCTTCTCATATGAGCGAAACTCCTCCCACAAGTGGCACAATTGAACGGCTTCTCGGTCGTGTGGGTGAGAATGTGACCTTCAAGTTCATGCTTCCTTTTAAACTCATTCCCGCAAAGAGTACACCCATATCGAATCGGATTCTCGGAATGTTCAGCATTTACATGCGTGTTGCCACAGACCACGCCTCGTTTGGTAGGTTTTTTCACATCCGAGAAACGCACATGGGAAACGAGGTCGTTCCCCGTGCTGTGGACGGTGCCGATATGTCGCCGTAAATTAGCAGGGGTCGAAAACACCTGATGACAAGTATCACAACTTGGTCGCTTCCGGTTGGAGTGAACATTCCACATGTGGGAAGATAAGGTGACTCTGTTTTTGGAAATTATGCCGCAAACCTAAACATGTAAGAAAGAAGTGGGTAAATCTAGATTGTAAAATTACACGCAAACTATCCTCAAACCAGAGGTCGACGCCGCAGATCGTACGCCACCGAACGCCTGTATTTTAAGTATTTTAAGCGCCGCCGCCGCCGGAAAATTTGATTTCCTATTCTTTTAACATTGTGACGCCGCGCTGCGCCGCCAACGCCGCCGAAAAATCACCAAAAACTGGTGCCGCCGCCGCCGAAAATTTGTCGGCGTCGACCTCTGGCTCAAACCAGATAATTTTGGCCACATTAGTTTGAAAGAGCAACTCTTTATAAACAACGTTTAGTGCGTCAATTGCGAAAAATTCAGAACGTTTTGGGCATCGCAAATTAATGAAAACGGTCGGATGTCCAACCGAATCTCGGCAGTTGAGCATTTTCGCAAAATTTGCTGAATTTTTCGCATCTGAGTAAGTGCCACACTAAATGTTGTTTCTAAAGAACTGCTCCTTCAAACCAACAAGATTAAAAATCAAAAATAATCTGGGTTGAACATGGTTTGAGTCCCCATTGCTAATGGGGCTTTTCAATATTTGCACGCTCACCTCACATTTGACCTTGACATCGGAATCGTGTGTGACAACCTGTCTCGTCAAGTCGTAATTGGTTTTAAACGTTCTTAACCAATAAGAGTATTCCCATTTGTTTCCTGGTTTCAAATCCATGTTGATTCGGTGTTTGTTGCGTTGGTTGGTAGACTAATAATTGCAAAAAATTTGGTAACTTTACTCTAACAAAGGATAGACGAACATGAAACACAGCAAATTTTAGCAGTAATGTAGTATTTAATTGTCATATCAACAACAAATAAAATTTAAATATTAATCTAGTGCAGTGTGTTTAGGATACGTATGTGTCGTTTCTTACCGTGTGTTGTGTAGGATTGCTCAATTATTACTTGCATATACAGGTGGTGTTTAGAAGTAGCAGCTAAGTTAACAAGTAAAGGCAATGTTGGTTAAAAAAAGGTTGCGTTTTTTAACCGTAGCAAGAAGTGAAAACGTTATATACACACTCCTGGAAAAAAATACCTAACCATCCCTTGGGAAATACAGAAATTATGCCACTAATTTGAACTTGTGGGAGGAGTTTCGCCAACAAGAAGATTCATCCACGAAGTGGAAATGGGTCGTTATTAATTTTACATACATATGCATGAGCTCTATAGAGCATAACTAGCCAATGTTGCCCTTAATTGAGCTGGTCACGCTTGCAATTAGTAGTAATATCAACAATTAAGTATATCCCAGTTTACTGGGAAATATCACTCCAGATGAGTGAGGATTAAGTGCAATCTGTTTATTTTGATTCATCCATCTGTCAATAAATATTTGCACCTAAATTATAATACGCACTCTTTCAAATATGTATGTAATGCAACCCTGTTGAAAAGTAAATATGTACTCTCTCGATTCTAAATTAAGTACTAAATCCAGAGTAGCATAAACTCGATAAAGAGTAAAGTTTACTCTGGATTTAATGTAGTTAACTTAATTCAGAGTGCATAAAGCACTGTGCATTCTCTTTTCAAAATGACTACATTATTCTTAAGAGTGTGAAATAAGTACACGGATTTTTAAGAGAGATTTTACATGGCGTTTTCACAAGCAGTTGTAGCAATTTATTATATGTACATATGTATATGGATTGAAAACATAAGGGCTTTATATACACACGTGTACATGTCTTTTATGACATACATAAATTGAACAAATACATCAAGTACATAAACATATGTATTTACATATGTAGCAGTCAAATATTAAGATTCTTAAAATTAACCCAACTTTGTGAATTGGTTTATCAGAATCTGAAAAAAATATTCTGCAGGTCTAGTACGAACAGTAGTAATAAATTTTGGTATTTCTAAATATTTCAATGAGTAATTTCATTAAAAAAAATAAATTTGTTACAGTGAACTAAACTTACGTATTTAGGTATCTGCATAAATATTCAATAAATATACAATACATAATCCAATTCCAATTTAATTTGCATATTGAACATATATGCACATAAATTTATGTATGTATACGACTGCGATGGGCACGGTATGCAATCACAGTGCGTCCTTATCAATCATTATCACTCAACCGATATCGCGAAAAATGACAAATTAAGTAATCCACAATCAAATCCGGTAATCAATCACCTAATTCCGAACTATTTAGGTCAGGTTTTACCCTGTATTTGACAACATCTCCACAAAATGACACAGTTTTAGACTGCTGCTCAACTGTGATGAAATGTCCCGATTTATATTCTTACTTGCTCTCCAAATCAATTGTTTCTTAATTTGCCTTACCGACAATGATGGAATCGACATTTTTTCTTTTGTGCCAAAATTATCCTTCGGAACACATTCCCTCCTTGAGCCATACGTGAACAAGTATTGCGACGACAATTTCCCACCAGGTTTCGTTTACTATGGCTGCTGCTCGGAAGACTACCCCAAATCACATTGTTTCCTGAACGACGATAAGAGTCGGGATGCATTTTGCGAGACACAAAATTTGCACGCGAATCGTTTCAGTTACAATTGTAGCAACTCTATCGTGGATAAGAATTGTACGCTGCCGAAGGGGCGATGCTATTGTTGTTCTCCGTGAGTTGTTGAAAAAATCACAAAAAAATGTTTTTTTTTAGTTTTACAAAATTGTTAAAATCCTGATGGTGATTCAGTCTAGCATGACAATCTTGGATAAATTCCTTTATCAAAACACAATGTTTTCTGAACAAGCTTCATTAAAAAAATTAATCGATATGGTTACCTAAATTTTGTTTTGCAGTGATGCCCCCACTGACCATGACAACAGGCCTACTCGTCCACCACAATCGGCTAATCTCACAGGTTAATTTAACAGTCCTAAATAAATAAATAAATGTTTAAATGCATAAATTTGTCGACATGCTTATGGACACGGAATTAATACGTAGTTAACACGGACACCAAAATCTGGACTAAAATACAGACTGGAATACCTAGATGTGGACAAGCGTCTACATTTCTCCCCGTCCATATTAATTACCCTAACCTCATTACTTTTATACAAATCATAGATCCATCGTTTTGTGGAACCATTGCAACAGACCAATTTTTCGGTGGGAATTACACCTTGGCCCATATAATGGAACAAACAGCGTGGGAACTGCCCCTCTTCAGCGCACTTTCATTTACCCTAGAACAAGGGACAAAGTTCGTTAACGTGATGAATCCCAATTGTCGCGTGACGATTTGCCACATATGGAAAACTGGCATTAGAGGGGAATGTCTCCATTTTACACACGATGGACAAAATAGTTATAGAACGGTGATGATTTACTTAATTTGGTAATTGGATAAAACTAATAGCTACGTTTTTTCCAACATTTTCAGGACAAACAGTACAACACTGTTTCGATAAGTTGCGGCTGCATGGTAATGGAAATAAAGTACAAAATTTTGTTCTCATTAATGGTTAAATCTTGTAATTTGTCATAGAATGGACCATTTAGTAACGATGAATGCACAAAACCGGAAAATGTCCTGGAGTCTGATGTGTCTTGCCAACCACAAAATTTAGATGCCGATACGTGTGCCGTACTTTATCAAGAATCCGGCTGCCAATCCTGTAATTTTGACCCGATTCGTCTTACCGATAAGCGCTCATCCTTCACGCCGAGTAATTTCGCGGTAATTCGATCCCTTCGAGTCAACTCGGGATGCAGCGTGCGGGCATCGGCGGCCCAAGATTTTGTCGAATTTTACGAGACGACGTCAATTGTGCAGGAAGTAAGTATTAATATTTAATTGTATGTATAAGTGGGCACTGTCAAATATTTACATAATTTTTGCACAATATTGTGATTAGTTTTTTCTCCAAAATACCACGAATGCTGAGGTGTACTTGCAATTTAACACTTTCGACTGCATCTGCGGTCCAAAAACTATCATAGAAGATGGTACGACTTCGCTTTCCGGTAAGTGATGAAATATGCAAATATGTTCAACTCACCTACTTATGCAAATTATGAATTTTAAGGTGGGGCCATTGCTGGCATTGTGCTCGGTTTGGTTGTACTGGTCGCGGCAATGATAGGCTTGACTTACTTCATGAAGGGAAGAAAACACAAGGTCAGCTTCACCCAGGAAGAGACAGAACAACTTAAGCACGAGCTGTTCAATGGGGGAGGGGAAGCAGGTACACAAACAGGACCGGAAGTGGATTTTGAAAATTCAGTCAGCATCGCCAGCAACAACAATGGACTCAATGAAGAATATTCTGTTAAGAAGCAGCACATTGAAGGTTTGCAGTACCGAATTTTGGATAGATAAATTTGAAATTGTTTGTGGTCGTTTCGGGGTATTTATGTTTATCATCGATAAGATAGTATCCAAAACTAGCTAACCAGACAGGCCATAATTTGTGAGACCAAATTGACACCCTAAATTTATAATATTCGAATAATTTCAGTTTTCAAAGATATTTTACTTGGACGTGGAAACTATGGCGTGATTTTCAAAGGTAGTCTTTTCTCGGAGTCGGATCAGCACAAGGTGGACTGCGCCATAAAAACCGTGGATGAATTAACTGCCAGAATTGATGATTTAAAATTACTCATGAACGAAATTAGGATAATGTCCTGTGTTGGTCGACACGAAAATGTGATCCAGTTTCTGGGATTTTATTGCAATTTCCATCCAAAGAAATGTAAGCATTATTTACATGTTAATAATTTATAGTCTCGTGTTTATGCAAAATTATTTATCTAACTTGGAAAATTTTGATATTACAGGGGAATTTTTATGCTTGATGGAACTCTGCGTGGAAAATTTGCATAGTTATCTTCTTCAAGCCAGGAATTGTCAGAAGGCTTCGAACTCCACGATTAATGTTCACTTGCAAAAAGAAGGATATGTTTTTTACGAAGATACCGAGCAAATTGACGATACGTTAGTACAAATTTGCATAAATATATAGTGAATTTGAATACTTAAGCATTTATATGGTGGTTTGGACCTTTATTAGAAATAAGTTAAAATTATTAGTTACACAGATTTATGAAATCACTTAATACAGTTATGCACCCTGAAATTCCCTGAATAAAGTTGTGTAAAACTTACTCAAGGTTGAGTAAAATAGAGGATGCCACAAAAATTAGGTAACATTGATTCACCCAACCGTTATGTAAATTTTACCAAAATGTTGTGTTGTCTCATCCTCCATTTTACGTCACCCTTCGTAAATTTTACAAAACTTTAATTAGAGTAAAATAAGCTAAAAACTGAAATTAGTCGCCTATTTCCAATTAACTATTGTAGAAGCTCAGGTCAACCCCCTCATCCTCAGCTGGACGCACCGTCCGTTACAATCACACAGGTAGAGATTCGAAAATGGTCGGCCGAAATTGCGAACGGGATGGATTACTTGACGATGAAAAATGTAGCAAAAATTATTTGCATATACCTATTTAAATATTTAATTTTGCTAAACGCGGCGTTAGAGTTAGAAATTAAGTAATTTCTTATTTACTTAAGTAGTTGCTCCATATTGACCTTGCAACACGAAATGTCCTCCTATCGGCGAATCTAACTGTTAAAATCAGTGATTTTGGACTGTCAAAAAAGCTGTATGACGCCTTGTATTACAAAAAAGTTCAAGGAGGCCATGTGAGTTATCATGGGAGAAAAATTTGATACAAATTTACGTAGAATATTTTAAAACGTTTCGTGCCCAGATTTGGATCCCCATGAAGTGGAGTAGCTTCGAGTCGCTGATGGGGCTCAAGTTCTCGAAGGAATCTGATATCTGGTCGTACGGGGTGACAATCTGGGAAATCTTTAGCCTCGGCGAGGAGCCTTATCCGGACCTGGGTGAGATGGTGGACCTTATCAGATTCCTTAATAGTGGACAAAGACTCCCATGTCCGAAGTCTTGCGACGATGAGACGTAAAAAAATTCTCATTTTCTTGGAGTCGTAATACAGATGTTGATGTTACAAACTAAATTTTTAATTTTAGTTATGCTCTCATGAAAAAATGCTGGGAAATGGATCCAACAAAAAGACCCAGTTTCAACGAGATTGGAATATTCTTTAAAAATTTTGGAAAAGAAGATGATGTATTGAATATTTAATTCATTCAAATTTATTCATATTAATTAAATATTTATTAGTATTGCAGCAAAATGAAGTTATTATCCGTTAATCTTTGTTCTTACCATATGTAGATTAAGAAGCCACGATTGTTTAATTCCTGTCACAGGAAAATTAAATATTTACGTATCTACATATCGAACATTTTTTATGCATTTCGTGCTTCAAGATTAGTATTCGCGAAATTTGAATTAAGTAACAAATGCAGTAACTTAGAAATATTTCTCTCTGGAGATCAAAGTAATAGACAAACGTGAGCACTATGAGTCATAATGATGAATACGGAAAATGTAACATTTACTTGTCCAGAATCCTGGCAATGGAATGAGGCGACAACTCACTAAAGTACATTTGTAAGTACTTATGTACGTATCGAAGGCATGCCGCATGACTACATGCACAATTCATCTTGCATTGCGACCACCAAAAATAATAACACACGAAGCTATGAAACTACATAAGCATTTGTTGAGAAACTAGGGTATGGCGTAAGAACAATCTACTTATTCTTAGCCTACATACTCTCTTATTTAAGAAATTGCAAATAAATAATTGTTACACTTTTGTCAAGCAATTTCGAGGGAAATTGGGCCGTAAACCATGTACATACATACTTACACAGGTAAATCCCCACATATCGTGCACAGCGAGTACATGTATCATACACGATGTATGTACATACATATGTACATAGATATGTACACTGTTAAAAATCTGGTAGAGTCCCATACTCCGTAATGGATATAATTTCCTATTCGATCAGTAGCAATTTTATTCTGATTTGTATATTTTTATTTAACACAATATTACTAAAAGGTAATGCCCGTAATTACCGTGCCGGTAGAGTTACATATATATGTAATCCGGTCAGTAATGATTTAACCAGTTTTCTAAGAGTGTATGTACTTTGGTGATTCACCAAGTACATACATATGCAACTATCTTAGGTAATCGTTTGTCACCTGACGCTAGTTTAAAGTTTGCACCGTTTGAAGCACACGTATGCAGAAACTTTGAGCCGACAGTTATCTAGCTTCGATGAATTTATCCTCTTGTACGTTTAAAAGGGAAGTCGAACCATGCCGCTCATCTTGCAATATACGAATATGGGCTCAATCGCTTAACAATTGAAGGAGCAAAATTCCTATTTTGGTTCTATTGTAATTTTTTAAATTATCTCGCTCTGATGACTCACCAAAGGCAATTTGACGATCAACCATTTGGGAAAGGGGGACAATTTATAACATACAGAGTAGGCTTATGTAATAAAGCCCGAGTAAGGTCTAGTTGTGGTTATCATGTAATCCAAGTTTTGTGCTTGAAATTCTCTGGTAAATGCGTCAATAAATTTGGTCAATTAATACTAATTTTAAAATTTCAATCCATAATCTTTCATTTGTATATAGGCACCAGCAACCCTTCCACGAAATCTCAGCTTGATTGGACGACTTTTAAAAATAGGTATGGGTCATCCCCTCCAGGTAATAATTTGTAAAATTCCACTTTAAAGGCCAACTTTCTAAATTCCACGTTTATTAGAAACCATTAGCACTCTCAATTCCAAAGTATAGCTTTTCACTACACTTTTGAAATTTTCGTGCATCACATCCCACCCAACCGTAACCCCCCCCCCCCCCCCCCAGAGATCAACCTCTTGATCGGTTTGGCCAAAATTTTGCACATATATAACATATGTTATATAGATGCAAAATTTTGAGTCGATCGAATTACATAGTTTTACGAAAATTATTGCAAGACGGACATAGTGGGTACATATGTATGTAAGCTTTGACTTCAAAAGTCTACTACATATCCATACAATTTTCACCCAATTCTGATAATGACTCAAAAAACCCTGACTTTGACCTTGTTTAGACTGGATAATTAGATTAACTAACCACGCGAGGCTTTACGTAACGTTACGGAATTCGTACCATGTAACCTATCGGCCTTACAACTCCATTAATATTTGCTTGATTCTAGCCTAACGAAGCGACAGGTTGAGTGCCCCATGCATAAATAAATGTAACGGACACATATTTAGTCTCACCAAACGTGTCATTTCTCGCAGTCCTGTTTCACAGTGTCTAATGGTAACATGCAAACTTTCCAATTTCGGTAACTTGTAAGTACCTGCATGCAATTCTTCAATTTTGGTTGCATATTTATACAATTTGTGACGCAACAAAGTAACGTAGCATGCAGGCTGCCGGTGGCTTAAAGAAGAAAAGGAAACGAAATCTTGCAAAGGTCTTGCTGAATTTTATTTTTATTATTGTTTAATCAATTACCAATTTTTCTTTAATAATTAATAATATACAGGATGGTTTATTCGATTTCCATACTTATTTTCCAAAATTTTAGGAAACTTGTATTAAATCATTACTGGCCGGAGTACAGATGTATTTATGTATACCTACTCTACGGGCATGGTAATATGCTATGGTAATAAAATCGAACCGTTCAGAAACTACGTAACTATTTAGTACCAATGCGGTAGGAAATTAGCACCAAATCAATAACAGTATTGCCTTTATATATAAAGGCAATCGAGTTACATATATGTAACTCGATCGGATTTTCTACAGTACTGACACATAATATACATCTGTAGTACTGCTCATATTTGATCTTACATAAAATATGTAGTTTAATTTTATATGGTAATTAAAACTGCCACATACTTAGTTCACTTGATTTTATTCTTAATTAAATTTGGTCACTGATTGATACATCATTTAATTGTGCATCATACATAGGTGACTGCATCGGGAGTGGTGCTATATGATCCAGCCAGTGACAACTTTGACCTGCACCCTGACAGCTCTCTAAGAAGTAGTGCCTCCACAATTTCCGCGTGGAGAGAAGAATTGGAAGGATATCGGCAAGGACGGAATCCAAGGGCTACTCGGGATCCAATCTTTTCATCGAGATCGGTCACGACGACTGATACAGCAATTTTTATAGATGTCGAAGATTGCCCTACCGACCAGCGACCAACGTCAGATGGGGGGACCTCTAATAAAAATAAGGATCGTCCCGTTCTCCTGAGCGACAATCACATTGCAAGGTATTTAAAACAAATTATAAAAAGATCACAAAAATTGGCAAATATTATGGCTAAATTTAACCATTATTGGGCTAGTCTTAAAATTCACAAGAATTTTTTAAATTACAGACTTCGTAATATCATTCTCCTTGGAGTTGCTAGTTTCTCGTTCCCTTGGCGATACAATACCAAGACTCATCGAGTGGATCTGTTTATCCCATTCTTTACGAAATTGTGGCGCGTAATTTGGTACCTGTCCGTCATTCAGAGCGCGGGAATAACGGTGTTTCAGGTGTACTCGTTCTCCACGAGAATGGGCGGGACGGATGAGACGGGTAGTTGGCGGCCTGTTTTCATGTCGTCCTTCTCTGTCCTCTGGTACTGCTATTCCCTTTCTTTAAGCGCCACAATGTTCTGGTACGGAGAAGCCATGCGGAACTATGTTAACGCCATGTTTGAAATAAATGGAAAATTGGTGGGTAAGTAAATTTACATTATTTGCATTATACCTAGCTTAAGATATAGGCTACAAAATATAGCCTGTCAGCAAAATTTCAAAGTTGTTCAGAACGTTTTACGAAATTTGGCAAATAATTTGCAAACGATATTGTTACAAAAGTTCAATTTACTACATAGTGAAAATTTTCACATCTTCAAACAAAGCTATTAATGCTTAGAAATGAAACTATTGATTTTAGACTAGTTACTGGTATGCATATTTATTTATTGTCCATTGTATTTCCATTTAGATGAATACTTGATCACCGCTGAAGGACATAAAGAAGGCGGGCAGATCCTCCTGAATCTTTCAATACCAAGCAACATCACACAAACTTTCATTTCCATTAGTTTGTTTCTGACCTTTCCAAATTCGCCATGGTACCTGTACAACTACATCTATTCGCCAGAGCACGGCTGGTGGTGGCTGATTCCGGGTGCACTACACGTACGTTGAAAAGAAAACGGTTATACGTAAATACATTTATAAGTTGGATAATTAATTGACAACTTTTCTTACTGTTAGGAATTTGTGTTTGCGGGCCAAGTGCTATGTTTGTATTTGTTGATTGCTTGGATCGTGGTGGCGCATTCGAACAGTGTTACATTCTGGTTGCAGGAAGCCCAGTAAGGAATAATTTATTTATTTCATTATTATTCCAAATTTCCCTGAATAATTATTTCTCTAGCAAACTCAACGAGTCAGAAATGACCCACGATGACCTTCGTCAGCCAAACAACGCTATTCGGGTCTACCGCTCCCTCCAAGTTCTAACGAATCTCTTTAACGACGCCATGGCCCCGATGGCAATCCCCGTGGTAAAAGTGATCAGCTGGACGGCCCTGATTCCATGTGGATTTGTCCTAACTCGCTCCATGAGTGGGGGAAAGTTTGTCCGCGAACTTCCCGGGATCCTGACCTACCCTTTGGCCGTTATAGACTGTGCGAGTTGTCCCTTCGGGTTACTGCAAATGGGAGCGCGAATGTACGACATTACGGCGTCTTTTTTGACGTCATGGTCTCAAACGAGGCACTTTGCTTTGAGAAGGATCCTTATTTCGTGCCCGTTATTAAAAGCTAAGATTGGAAGGTTCTACTTCATCACGACTTCTACGACGATCCAGTTCTTCAAGTCCGCCCTGGATTATATTATAAATGCGATTGTGTCTTTCCCTTAATGGTGGTATTCATGTACATCGAAACCAGTAATTAATATTCAAACATGTACAATTAAACAATGCAGGTTATTAAGTCCGTGGCATCAAAACCAAAATTTACAATGCGTAAATTTGAAATAATCAAATTAATGAAAATTGACAACTTTCAGTTCTATATAATATTTAGAATGTACTTGGCTGCATCCGATTATGTCAACATTTAGTTTGAGATTAATTGTATATTCCGGTGTTATTATTTAATGCTTAAATATGTAAATAAATATGCATATGCGTGATTATAAAATCTTCAAAGTGTAATAAATTAATTTCATGACTCAACCGTAATAAATGAATGCTATGTGAATGTCAAATTCTTAGGATATCACTTAGCTCTAGCACTTTAGCCATTACTTTCTCATCTATTTACTTATTTATGTATAACTAAATATCTTCCATACGGATTACTTTCAAATGATAATTTAAAAAATTTTATCATTCATTATAATATTTACTTATTTGTGAACATTTACATTACAGTATATTCAAGATTTCCCATTACCAATCAAGCTGTCCGAAATCATCCCATTCATTTTCCTCTTCCATATTCTGGAGGATAATCTCTATCGACAAATATGTAAAGACAAATATGTAGCCGACATTTATGTAAACAATATTTATGTAACCCGACAAATATGTAAGTGACAGATATGCACACGACAAATAGGCAACGAATCAGATTTCGTCACGAATTTTATGTAAGTATTTAGAAATCTTATTTTCAAAACGGCATATTCAACAGTGAAAATCTCAGCAAAAATAAAAATCTCAACAATGATATCAAGCTCAAAGAATCCACCCCACTTTTGCCTTTGCGGAGCCCGGATTGACTTAATACTTGATATTAGCTTTTAATAATCAGAGCTGGTTTCCTCATAATGTTCAAAATTAAACTTACCCTAGTTCCTTTGAAGTAATTAATTACCAAATTTTCAGCTTTCAACAACAATTTCGAAATTTTTCCATATTTGTCACTTACATATGTGTCGGGTTGCATATTTGTCGGGATACATAAACGTCGTTTGCATAAATGTCGCTACATAAATGTCGGTTACATATTTGTCTTTACATATTTGTCACCTCATCCCCCTCTCAAATCACCTCTCGCATATTTCACTCATAATTTGTAACCATGGAAACCTTGCTATATTCCAGTTTACTATGCATTACCAGAGGGCGGATATGTATGTATTTCTAACTTCTTCATATTAAATCAGACCGTATTAAAACTTCGTATACTGACGTCCCATCGAAGCGTGATTTCAAAAATTCAAACATAGTTTTCCATATTTTACATATTTCAGGGTTTTCGTACATATCCATATTTTCATACATATTCGAGCCCTTTTCTAAATATAAATATTTTAATACATATTTCGAGGTTTTTTATGTAAAAATATTTTTCTTTATTCAGAAGTTAAAGTTTTGTCAAAATTATATTTTCATGATAATGGTGTTCAATTCATGTGAACGACTAGAAAATCGAATTTGGCCCATTTTTTAAGCCAAACAATTACCCCTGAAAGTCTATAATCATAACTAATGTCGCATTATGGATAATTCGATTAAGAATAAAAAGAAATATTTAATAATTCATTGATAAGTGTTAAAAATGTGAAAGGTGTGGAAAATTAGATATATGTAAATACAGCGGAAAATTGCAATTGAAAAATATTTTTTATGTGCATATTTTCGAGTTTTTTGAGCACATATTACATACATATTTTGTGGAATTTAAGTACATACATATCCGCCCTATGTGCATTACACACAGGGTGGTTTAGATGTCGAGAATGGAAAATTTTACACAGTGAAAAGTAAATACATAAATCTCCATTGTCAGAATGGAGAATGTCAGAATGGTAACCAATGGAAATTTATTAAATTCTCCATCTGAAAAATTTTCCATTGTAGAGAGACATTTAAACCACTCTCTACATATGTTCTACAATGATGGTCACAGGGAATGATAGCGAACTTCAATGACAAAGGCACCCAGATCACTTACCTTTTCTCACCTGACCTAAATTACGGTGAATCATGGTGAACATTTTTATACAACTGCGAGATCAAGATTACCAGAACTGCCCTTTACCAAGGTCAATGTCAGATTTTATTAGGTTTTTGTCCATGAAGAGGAAGAATAATGCACAGTATGCAAAACAAGCTTGAGGAGAAACCTACAAATTTTTGTCACGAGCTGCTTAGCATTCCGTTTTTTTGCAGTTTTTCTCATTAAACAATTTTAATCGGGTTAAAATTCCATCCCGTTGTTCCAGAGTGATGGAATTTTTTCGGTTAGCAGTCCTGTTGTTCCTGATATGTACACCGAAATATTGTGCAAGTAGTGGAGTTGATCCCACTTTGCAGTTGGAGCTTGTCCACGTGGTAATTTTTTTGATACTTAAATTCTAAAAATTCTAAAAATTTCTATTAAAAAAATTAGAAAATTTATTATTTACTTTTAACTACTTAATTCTATAATATATAAATATATAGCTGACTCGGCATGGTGATCGGAACATGCTTGATCCAAAATGGTCTTATCCGGACGATCCTTATCGGAACGAATCCTACTGGCCAGAGGGATACGCGCAATTAAGCAAGGTTAAAGTTACATTTAAAATAGATAATTCATAAGCATGTTAATAGTGCAATGGATAAATAAATACGGAACGAACTATTTATTGAACAATTCACGAAGCCCTTTTCCAACTTCATGAAATTTAAAAAAAGTCGTAAAATTTTATGGATTTTATAAATTTATTAATGACTGCGTGAAATTATTGTATCTATGTATTTAGCTTGGGAAACAGCAACACTACGCGTTAGGACAATGGTTCCGAACACGGTACTCTAAATTCCTTAGTGAAGCGTATTCTTTGTACGATATTTATGTGGAATCGTCCGATGTGGACAGGACAATTATGAGTGCACAGGTTAGTAAATGAATAAATTGCTATTAATGAAGGATTGAAATAAATTGGGTTATTTGTTATAATAATATATTTCGATTAATTGGTACGCACATTTTACATTACTAACTAGGCCAATCTTGCCGGACTATACCCACCGAATGGAACGATTGATCCAACATCCGTTTGGAATGAAGCATTGCCATGGCAACCAATCCCAGTTCACACAATCCCAAAGGATTTTGATAATGTAAGAAGTGTTATTTATGTAATTTTAAAGATGAAAATTTGCACATTGTTTTCTTGATAAAAGTTGAGAGGCAAAAATAGCAAATTTCATTTGTGCGCATATTTAGCTTGATATGTATGTAGTATGAGTATATATACAACTGCATTTTCAATTGCTGAAATAAATATGTACGTACTGCATTTAATTTAAGATTATACACAGAAGGTGCAGCAGAATTCTTACCTAACGTGTACCCGTTAGAGTTATGTATAATGTGGTGAAAAAGGTTCAATTTATTTACGATGTAATGCGGAAAGCTGTAAAAGACATAGCCGTCCCAATTGAAGAGAAGGTCGAGTTTTATGACGGGGCTGAGGTTCCATTTCGGGTTTCATTGGTTACATAATTTATGGGGTTTTTATTTGGGTCAATTTTTTCACCCAGGCAAACATGAGTCCGTGAAAATCGTGTAACCTTTGTAAAGTAAATTTACAACATGTTTACTGTGTACAATAAACAGATGCCCTTTGAACTTACAGAGATTTGTAATCTTGCTTTCTTCCGCATTCTTACTTGTGAACTTAGGTATGTATGTATGTATAATTTTACCAGGGTTCTTATGCATTAGGTTAGTCTAGTTTTTCTAGACAGGGTTATGCATGTTCAAAAATTAAAAAATGGGACTAACCTAAATTTTAATCGACTGAAATTTTGATGATTTTTGCTATTGAAAAGTTGTTAAGGTTAATCAAAATTAAGTTGTAAAATTCCCACAGATTTAAATTTGAGATAATCTGATTGATGCAAATCTCGAACTTGTATCTGGATAACCCTGTCTACAAAAACCACCATCGACAATAAAGTATAAGAAAGAACCACGAATTTTATTAAATTTGTTCCTTTGTAAACATTCGAGTTACATATTCCATGATAAAAACAAAATTACAAAACTTTACTGCAGTAAAGTCATGACTTACCACAAACCAGAAATCATCTTGTACATAAAATTGTGTAGCAAACTTAATTTTCTCTCACAGAAACTCCAGCTCTCTGCCCCTTGCCCACGTGCATCTCGCCTCATATCAGATTACAACAACGGCCCCGAAACTATCGCCATTTTATCCGAAAACGCGGAAATGTTTGCCCACTTTGCAAACAACACGGGGCGTCCAATCCGTAACCTGGCCGATGTTCACTTCCTCTACGATCCCCTCCTCATCAAAAGCATCCACAATTATAGCCTTCCTGCCTGGAGCGAGGGATACTTCCCAGGCGGACAATTGTTCAATTTGACCTCAATGTCGTTCCGGGTGTGGACTTGGAATGACGAATTGAAGCGATTAAAGGGTGGGCCCATGATTAAGGAAGTTGTACAACATTTCCAGGAGAAAGTGCAGGGCGTTAATTATTCCGTGGGGCAAGGTGAGACTGTGAGACTAACTGATACTACTGACGAATTTGAAGTGGATGAACGACCAGAGGCTGATGACCACACCGATGGTGCACGAAAACTACAGTCATCCATCAAGACATTGGATAAGCGGATGAAGTTTTTTATGAGTTCGGGTCACGATACGACGATTTCTAGCGTATTGAACTCTCTTGGAGTGTGGAACGGACTTCCACCACCGTACGCGAGCGCGGTAATGTTTGAATTGAAGAGGAAACCAGGGAGAATCCAGGGGGATAAGGAAGCCTACTTTGTGGAGGTTAGTGAACAAGGCATGACGAACAGTATAGACTTAATAAATCTTTAAATTTTTTTAGAACACTAGGGGTACTCATTACGAGTGCCTATGGCTATAATAGCACTATTAGTTCTAAATGTAGAAATATGGGAATACTAATTTACTAAATTAATTGGTGTAATCAAAGTAAACCAAGTATTTAAGTTATTTATTTTATTTTAAATTTAAACTACAGATTTACTACCGAAATGAGACTGGACCATCGGACCCTAACTTGTTGACGATTCCTGGATGCGCCGCTTCTTGTCGGTTGGACAAATTCGTGGAGCTGACGAGATCTGCAATTCCCCTGAACTGGGAGTGGGACTGTATCGATGCCTCCTTCACGGCTTAATTGACCACTTGGTTAATATTTACGGATTTTATGACCTTGTTAATTCTATAAAAAATTTCCTAAAATGATGCAACCCTTAAAAATAAAAATATTGATTCAATTATAAAAATGGCGAACGCTCGTTAAATTTGGGCATACTGCGCATGAAAAAATTCATTGCTTTTAAAATTCCACTATTTGATGATTATGCATTAATTTGTTGTACGTATGTATGTATAATCACAAAACATAATTTAATATGATTTAAATATTTAGGACGGGACAGAAAGAGAATAATATTTTTTCTACTCGATGCTATGCAGTTTTATATTTAAATTGGAAAGAAACCCTCTAATAATTAACAGATCTTGAGCACAATTACATATCTATGTATTTTATGTATCTCCAAATAATTAAGTATTCCAATAATTTGGAGCAGTATATTTCACCTGTAAATGTATCACCTGCAAAAAAATGTGACTCAAGCTATCTATATTTAGCCCTTTAAGGAGTATGATTACATAGCTAAACAATGCATTAATTCATCGAACACTGAAAGATCCAGAATTTAGGACTGCATTATATTTAGGAATGATAAAGTTCTCGGCAAATATGAACATTTTCAACATTAACATTAACATTTAACGTAAGAGAAATTCTTCAAAATGACAAGAGATAGTCTAGTCACATTAAAAATACAGAGAGTGATAGATGCAACGTCAAGTGTAACTTCCTGGCTTAAATTCCCCCCAACATCGCATCGCACGTCCACATGTGGAACCCATGTACTGTGGGGAATAACAAGAGAAGTAAGGATTTCTCGGCAAACGTTGGGCGAGTAAAACAAGTATCAATCTAGGCTGCGGTTCAGTTTTTTCGGCCTTTTGGCTCAGTGGTCTGTTGCGTTGGCTGGAAACGAGACGTCGGGGGTTCGAATCCTACAAAGAGCATATGAATATTTTTGCAAATTTTTTACTTTTTTAAATTTTAATTAATGCATTTGCTTATCTAATTAATAGAACTGCTGCATTTACCAATTCTCATCGTGTAATGTTAAATTTTGAAACTAGAAATAATTTTAATTCCGGTTTATTTAATAGTTGGACGATGCTAATTGATAAATGCAACAGTTCTATTAATTAGATAAGCAAATGCATTAATTAAAATTTAAAAAAGTAAAAAATTTGCAAAAATATTCAGATGCTCTTTGTAGGATTCGAACCCACGACGTTTCGTTTCCAGCCAACGCAACAGACCACTGAGCCAAAAGGCCGAAAAAACTGAACCGCAGCCTAGATTGATACTTGTTTTACTCGCCCAACGTTTGCCGAGAAATCCTTACTTCTCTTGTTATTCCCCACAGTAACTTTCAAAATTCAAAAGAGTACACAAGTATGTATATATTTTCAAAATTTAAAACTTCAACATTTTCCTTTAAATTGACCCCGCATTTAAGACATGTAAGTATTTAACCAAATACTTATGTATCTACATATGAATGAGTATGAGTATACCATTCCATTGACTATTTCACAGATTTAGCGTGTCAAAGTTTTAATATCACCCATTTATAAATGCCAAAATGTTGGAAATGCAATTTGAGCTATAACCAGTCGGATCTTGAGCCCAAAATATGAATTAAAAAAACTATTCAAGAAAATATTTTCGGGTTTTGAGTGAAAATATAAAATAAATTTTTTCGAAGTTTACAGTAAATAAATGACATCAGTTTTTGACTGTTCTCCATTTGTGGCAAAAACGTCTCTTTAATCATTACCTGCAAAAAATACGGCCTTTGTTAATTCAGATCTCAACTCTTTCCCCAAAATCTCGGTAAATTCCAGCAGCCAGTCCACAAATTTAACACTGGTTTCAAACTCATCCCCACAAATTCCGTAGCGCTCTTTCAGCCTACCTTTCACCTCCTCCCTACCCAACAATTCCTGACTAATGGCACTAAATTGGCTCATTGCGAATTTCTTGTTTAGCAAAAATGGCAGAAAATCCCCTCGGAACCGATGCCAATCCCAGTTGACCGGCGGTGGCGGATATTGTAAAATACATTTCATATTTGCAAACTCATCACTTGAACTGGGACAACTTTCCATCATTTCAGCAATGGAATTTTCCCCAATCTGCAACCTGAAACTGCGAACGAGTATAAACAAGATTTCAAGAGTGGTTTGCGTCATCGGAATTACTGAGAGTGCACTGACACCGTACAAAACGAGAATATGTCGCGATATTTCGCCCCAATTGAAAAATGTGTTGGCGAGAAATCCAAACAAATCTGTGGAAGTATGCTCAAAGCGGACGAGGTCGTAAAAATATGACAAAATTTCATCATCCACGCCTCTCGTGGCGATTCGTGGGAGTGTCCCGTCTCTCAGTTGGGACAAAAACTGGGCCTCATTTCTGACCAGTTCGTTCAGAAATGATCGAATTAATGAACGCCCTCTCTCGAGCACGGCGGATTTGCCGACGACAAACAATTTTTGGGCGAAATTGCCATTTTCTTCAGGATGCCTCTTATTATACCAAAATTGTCTGAATGCTCCGAAAATAAAATTTGCTACATAAAATTCTGCAATGGATCTGTGCAGAAATTCTGGTTTTTGCACGGATCCATGGACAAGACCAATTCTACTTAATTCTCGGGACGATTCAGGAGAAATTTCCATGCTTTTTCTCTCCACTCTGTAAATTTCCCAGATCAAGGCGTCCCAGCCGTCAATTTTTAGCACGTCGCCCCCCAAGAATTCCAATTCTCGTTCAAACTTCGAGATAAAACTTGGCCTTAAACCTTCCCAAATTCCGTCGTCTTTCATGCCTAATTTGTTCAAGAAGCAAATCTTGTATTTCGCATCGATAAATTGATCAATAAGTATTCGCAGGCTGTAGAAGGATGGCACCGCTTCCTCGAGATTGATCAGACCACCGCAGAAATCGCGGGCCGGAGCGGCAAAAGCGACGCTGAGCATTTTCATGTGGAGCGGGATCCCTAAAAAGGAATTACTATTATCTGAAAGAAAGGAATCTTGAGCCTTCCGCATCAACGTGGATGTAAATGTGACGAGGCGGTCTTTCCCGCCGCTTATTACCCCCTTCCAAATATCGTACAAAAATTGGTCATATTGCCCCAGAGGGACTAAATGATGCGACATAATGCCAAGAGCGCACTCGACAAGAAGGCTGTCTCCCGCCCGCGTGGATACGGCCATATTAACGGACGAATTTACTCGCAATCCAGTCAAAACTTGGGATACAAGGAGCTTATTGGAATCCGCGAGTTCGTCAAAACCATCCAAAATTAGGAATATTTTGGACGAATTGTTGCCCGTCATCACCGCTCGGAACGCGATACTCGAGATGACATCCAGTTTTAAATTTTGCGCTAAAAATGACACAATATTATCTAGTGTTTGGGACACGTTACCCGCATCGGGCCGGGTTCGCGAGGCGTTCGAGAGACGATCGAAACCTACGAGATCTCGAAGTTGAAGGAAAAATACCCAAGCCCATGAATTATTTTGCGAATTTTGCAAAATCTTGTTGCACATGGTCATCATGCTGAAGGTTTTACCCATTCCGGGAATTTCAGAAATGCACATTAAAAATCTGTCGGAACCGCTAACCTCAGAAAAAATATTGTCTTCGTGGACGGGTTGCTTCCCATCAATTTGGACCTCCAGAGCTGGCTGGGTATCGACGAAATGCAAAACTAAGTCGCAACTCCCGCCAATTCCGGGTTTTAAATGGACAGATTTAATCGTGTCCACAGCGGAACAACACTGTGATAATCCCAAATTTTCCAAAAAACTATTTTTGTCCGGAAGTAGCAAGCAGTTCAACGACAAGACTTCCTCCGCACCTTGGCCGGCAACTATTTCGAAATTGAGTACCGGATTTCTTGCCGTTTTGTGCAGACGCCTGGTGTCAATTGCCGGTGGTAAGATTTCCCTTGCCCTGTACAAATCAGGATTATAATGCAATTTCCACTTAAAAAAATTACCCTGGATTCTACACGCCACCAATTCCACCACGTGGTCTGAATGATCTTTGCAATATTGTTGAAAACTAGCTACCGGATCTTGATCGCTCGTAAGGGTAACATATTTCAGATCGAAATTCTGTAAAGAATTTTGCCAAAATTTCCCAAAATCTGGGAAGCCGTCTTCCTCATAAAATAGTATTACCCTGCAGGGCAATTCCAACCCTTCAAAAATATGGACGGCCTCCTCAATCGAACTAAAGGTTCGCTCAGGTTCAACGTAAATGTTAATATTTTCATAAATTGTGGCGGGAAGTGTCCCAATATCCAATTTGACACCTTTCCGCAAAACTACGTATAGCTTGTCCGGATTGTTGAAAAGGTATTGCAAAATTTCTTCGCAACCTGACGCAGAATTTAGCAACTCCGACAATTGGACCAGTACACCTTGCAAATTTATGGATTGGCTTAAAATCAGGGGAAAACTGGAAGTTGAAATACCTAAATTTGTCCAGTTATAATTACAATTAACAATTGTTGGATCGTGCATTATGAATATTACTTGGCAACCAGGAATATTTGGTTTTTGCTCTATTTTATCGACAGGATAATTAATGCAGTCAACAAATATAAATTTTACCCCATCCGGTGGAGACGCTAATTTTGTACCGTTAAAGTCTCCATATTTTAAAATGAGCGCATTTTTACGAGAAAGTCCGCATTTTTCGGATTCCATTAATCCACATATTTTAAGACAATATAGTTTTAACAATTTCCTATTTCCATGTCTACATGCATCCCTCCACGTGACAGGCTGCTTCCCCCCGTCAAATTCCAAAGTAATAAATTTATCCCGAATTGAATCCCTATATCTTTCGCTACACGACCTTATCTGAGCTACAGAAAAATTTTCAAGCTTCCCGCATATCTCGACAATCCTGGTCACGGCCAAGCCCGCATTTTGCAACATTACGTAATAATCCTGGCTTGGAATCAAAATCAGATTTCTTTTCGGGGAATTTGCCACGATTTCAAGTAAAGGTTGCAAAATTTCTAGGTCTGAATTTCTCTCATTTCCGACGTAAGTCTTCCAAATATTGATCGTTTTAAGAAGCTCGACCACCTCCTGTGCGCCTGCGCTGAGCGTGTCCAAATGAATTTTGAGTCGTCCCTCCATCCTCGTGGTTCCCACGGGGAGGCCAGATTTCATAAAATCGTCATATTCTTTCGTAGTTTGTGACCATTTCGTGGTAAATAAATGCCTTATTGAGGAACCCAACAGGCTCAAAATGTTGACATGCTTCTCGAGATAGATGTGCTTTTTAGTGTCCCAGTTTCGAAACAGGATTAAAATCCATTCGTCCACGTGGATCAAGCGTGGATTCAGGTTGGATTGAAGCTCCTCTACAAATCGAGCCATTTCATGCGTGGTTACTGTGTAGGTTAAATTTTGCTTGGTCAAAAAACTTGTGGGTTTCCGGTTACCATTTCCGGTTATGTCCAAAGGAAGTAGAAACATGTCCCCGATATGGTTGTTAACTACATTGACGCCGTTCGGGGTGAATACGAAGTTGGTAATATCCAGCCCGAAGTGTGGTTTGATTTTGAGTTTTAACCCACGAAATTGTTTTAGGGAGGATAAACCTTGAATGATTTCAAATGCTCCCGGGCTATCGAATACTTCGCAGTGCGGGTGGAAAGCATGGGTGGGCGAGTTATTATCCACTAGGTTGAAACTGGTTTCGTTCAGGTGTAAATATTTGATGGCAAAGGTGCAAATTTGTGCTAACCAGCCGCCCAGAGAATGTCCAGTGATGGATAGCTGGAGAGGAGGGATGCCACTTCCGGTGGAGAATTTTTGAACGAAATTGAGACCGAAGGTGCAGGCAGAATTAATTTGAGGGGTGAGACGATTGTTGACCACGCCATCGTAGTCGGCTTGCCAGTCGCCAGGGTCGAAGGATTTGGTTCCTGGAAATTTTGATTTTTTTGTATAAAATATATATATATATAAATAATTTGCATGTTTGCAGACTAACCTCCATGAGCGATAATTAGTTGAGGGTGCCGTTCTGGATTTTCCTTTCTGTAAAATATTGCACCTCTATAACCCGTTTTTTCAGACACTCCACGGCAAAGGAGGACATATTCCAGGAGCCAGGATTCCTTCGGGGAGTCTGAAATTTCGAGATATTTTGTAACTTTATGTGTAATCAGGCGATTTCTGAAGTTTTTTCAAATAGGAGAAATGCACGTGGAACCTAAATAGATACTTTACAGGAATAAAAACGGCAACCACGTATCATATCAGATTACACTTTTACAAATCCAATGTTAAAATAATACCAAGCGATATTCATATATGACTCTGTTAAAGTGGTATTGATAAGTAATACCGTGTAGTAATAGCTCCGTATTAAAATTTTCCACATAGGTACATATGTAGCTAGTTTTTGCTTAATGGTGGAATTTTAACACAGCTTTAATAAGAACAGCTTTAATACCGATAAATCTATCCAAGATTTCTAACAGTATAGCATGAATCATTATTACTGTGATTACGCCATTTAATTAAAACACGCTAATTTTGTACAAGTTTGTTTTACAATTGCAAAGCTATTTCCCACATTCGGCAAACTAATGAAGTTATTTATCAACAATTTTAACTTTCATGTCATTAGCTGACATGCATACTCTTAATTAAATCGGAAAATATAATATGTGCACCATTTTACTATAACTTACCAACGCCTCTTTTTTCCTTCTCCCCATTGACCATGCTGGCCAATCCAGCAAGATCTCTGGTAGTTGGATGCAATTGCAAATTTAGAAAATCTTGCGTCAATTCGGCAATCTCATTCTCATGTCGCGACGACGATTCGAGATCGGTAATAAATTCCGCGTACTCGTCATGATTCACAGTGTAAATCAGGGAAGAGTCTTTTTCCAATTTAATCATCATATTTCTTCCACTTTATTGGTTAGTAGACCAATTTGTCACAGTATATGCATTTCTTCTTTCACAATGTTCCTTTAAACACTTATTTACACGTTGTGCCCTGACCAGCACAAGTTATCGAATGATTTGTTTAAATCACATGAATCAAAATAAATACTAAGACTGAAGGTGAATAATTTTAGTTTAATGCACAAATAAACAACTTGTACAATTAAATAACAACTTAAATGACGATAAGAATTGAACCATTTTAATTAAACAATTAATTTTTAACCGAGTCACCAGATTTACGTAAATAGAGGTATGTAAATAAATATGATTGAGTTCCTCAGTGGGATTATTGTCAGTCTGTGAACATATGTACATACGAGGTGACGAGCGTAATTGTGGTCAAAAACCACCTCTTACTTACACGTACATATTCGGTGAGTCAGAAGATCACAATTACTGCAAGATTCTGTACTCTCGATTAGTCACTCTCTACAGAATATTTACAGAGAGTGATTAAGGAAAACCTTCAACTTTTTGCAAGTTCCTTCTTTCCATGCACTATCTATACATATGTATGTATCGTATGTACATACATATATACCTATGTGACTTGTATATTTTGTATATGGATATGTATGTGCATAGTATGTACTACATACTCTTAGGAAATTGATAAATCACTTGTAAATCACTACTGACCGGAGTACACATATACATATGTGACTCCACCGGCACTAAAATAACGGGCGTTACGGCCCAGTATAATGTTGTGGTACAAAAACATTTACCACAGTCAACAGTATTAGAATTATTTATATTCGTTACACATACTAAAAATTTGTATTGATTGGGTCTTGATCTGAAAAGCAGGATGCATGCACATAACTACCGATTTACGACATTTGAATGAGTTACAGTACCAATAAGCAAGGCAATCCCGACCGGAAGCTGTTGAGTATTAACTGGACCAAGGTTGAAATTTTGTTTCTGGAAGGATGTACATGTAGTTCAGCCACGTAAAATAAATTAATATCTATTACTCGTTATGTCCCAGTAAATGATTTCCCCTGGAACACAACAGTAGAAATTATCATTGTTTTAAAAGGGAGATTTTTGAAAGCTTCTCTCAACCTCCATATTTATTCAAATTTCATATTTAGTCAAATCGAAGTGTAGAAGAGTAGGTTTCTCAGGAGTTTAAAAATGATACTCCTTGTAACAACGGAATTTTAATTTATTTAGTATGGGAATGTTTAGCCTGGTTTATGTATAACACCGACTCGAATATTGCTAAACAAAATGTCTCTCTGGAATGTGTTTAATGTGCTTTAGCTGAGTATCACGACTGCATTATTAATGAACGTGTTGCTTTATTTATATAAGAATAACACGCAAGTAATAAAAAAAGTACTATATCGGTTTTTTAGGATTCGGCATAAGTCCGATGTGGTCAAAAAAGTCTATTTCCTACTTAATGCGGTGAAATTCTGTCTCAAAAATTATTTTTAGAACTTCCCGAACCAATTGTGGAACCTCCGGATCACAATTCATCCCTTTTAAAAAATAACGACTTGACCTTCAAGCAGGATTCCGTTCCGTATATATACATATAACGCCAAACTATTACATGGGTGGTTAAACTTCAAAATTCTTGATTCCATTTTGGATTAAGAACAATATTGACTGTCACCTAACCACAACCTGCTTCACTATGTATGGCCTATGTATGGTCCAAACTGAAGCTAGATGTATGCGCTAAATCTCACCAGTTTGGAATCCATAAAAATACTACTGTAAAAAATGTTGTAAAAATCCCTAGAATGCTTGCGTACTACGACCGCGAAGTGGAAACCAAAACTCCTTACTTGTGTGACCTTAAAAAAATTTAATAGTCAATCTTACACAGAGTTTCATTGGCTTTTCGATGATGTGATTATTTTTACAAAATTCAATAAACTGCGTACTTGCTACAATGAGTTGTTCTTCTAACAGTAATTTAGCGACTACTAGGTATAATTTATCGCAAGTCACAATTTGCTGAGGCGCCGGTGAATTTTGTTGGTCATAAACGCCTTTAATAATTCTATCGTGGGTCCATTAAACTGATTGTCGTTCGTTAGGAATTCATGTATGTATGCCCTCGTTTGCTTATCACTGGAAAAATCCATCTTGCAAAAGCGATGTTTGACTTTTTGTGACCACCATGCTTGATTAATTAGCATTTTGTGTAGCAGTTTCGGAAGTATGTATGAATCGAGGTTTATTTAGTAGTCATGATAAAAATACAGAGGACGATGCATGCTACACAGTTCAAAATTCTGCCTTCAGCGCATCGTATTATGTACGTGCATTCGTGAAATCCATTTCGCTCACGAAATTTCAAGGAGTATATTTACACGTCTTTTCTTGTTTCAGAATATAAAACTTTTAACTTTAACATGTCTTTAGGAATTTACCGTAAACGAGTGGATTGATAGGAGACATACCTACATACATGAAACCACTTTCCCAAGCACATTAGACCTCGACGTCAATCGTAAAGGTCCCAAAATCTGAAAGAGACTCAAGTGAAATGCATAGATTTTAAAGTTTCACGACTAGGTCTAGGGTATCTCGTTTTATCAATCAATCCTTCAATTGTCAAGTAATTCTGCAGCCTGGTCTTTCTCAATCTGTTCATTACTCGAAACGAATTTGAAGGTTTCTTCCGAGTTAAAAAAATCCTTTCTCAATGGAAAACTAATTTAAGTACTACGAGAATGTCAGCCAGCTTTTCAACACCGACTCGAATCTCCCCAGACAAAATACTCTAAATTATTAATGAATATGTTGCTTCGTTTGCATGCGAATAACACGCAAGCAATAAAAAAGTACATCAACACCTTTCACTGTTAAAAATGTGGCCAAGTCACATACATATGTACACTCCGTGCTGATATTGATTTTGTTAAAACTTTCTCCGGAATTGGTAATAGTGTATTCCTGGGTAATAAATTTTTCATTGTTACATGACCAAACTGTTATGTCCGTTATTACGGTGCATGTGAAATGGCATACGCACAGTTTTCCTATGAGTGTGGTTCTTTATGCATTTGCTTGTTCAGAAACGTTTACATCTAACAAAAAACTGCACCGTTGGGTTTCATATCCTGGTAACGTGATCGACCAGGTTCATAACCATGTTAACAAAATAAAATGGTTCAATTGTGTGAACAGACTGCAGCTACTACAATACCAGTTTTTGCTTACTAGTCACCACCCAGTAGAAAACTATACAATATCACCAAGTCCATAAATCATGTTATATACCAAATAATCGCCCAACTCCATCCTGAATTATTACGATTAATGGGATTTAATATGTGCCTTGAAATACATCTCCACTCAAACTTATTTAACGAATTTGATTTCCGATTTCTACCAACCTTCCTGCCAACCTTCCTGCCAACCTTCCCGATTAATAATTTTCTCCCGCTTTTAATTTCCACGATTTCCTTCTTTTCGTCATTAGAGACTTATAAAACATCTATTTCGAAACATTCCTGCCATACAAAGATTTTAACATTTGATAAGCAACTACGCGCCCCATTTCTTCTACACAATCGAACATTCCCTTATTCAGCAAGAAACCTGAGGACAGCTATCCTTGTTAGTTATCATCATCCCAGTAAAGATGACGGTTGCAGCGCCCTCAAACATTTAAACGTGGCGGTACTAAAGTATAATCTCGGGATCGATACTTTCACCTGGATCGACCTCAAATTGAGCGGCACCATCAACAAATTAATGGTTTGTATCACTTTGCCCACTGAAAGAAGCAAACATGGCGTCCTATTCAGCCCTTCGCCGGAGGAAGGTTTCCTAATAACAAGTCCAACTTGTACAACGGAGAATTTTGTTTACAGAAAATATCCCTGCTACACGTCGCACATCACGCTGGGTATAGTCTCCCGCAGATTGAATATTTCGTTCGATGGAAGCGAAGATCCCGCCCCGGACATCGAGGAACAACCTCCGAACGATATACACATCTGCATTGTCTGTCATGCTCAAGACTTCTTGGACAGCATTGATCAACAAAATCCAGTCTTTTATATCGATCATAGCGGACGTACCAGAATTATTTACTGCTTTGTAAGGCCGTCTTTTGAGCCACCGACGTTTGGCATGCTCACTAAACCATATCCCGCGCATATTTGGGGTATACTGTTTATAACTGTTCTACTTGTTGGGTTGGTAGAAAGAAACGTTTCGAATAGTGTATCAGTCTGTAAAGTTTTTGTCGCCCAAGGAGCAGATGTTCCCGTTGGAAAATTTCATGTGGCCATTTTGTCCTTGATTTTCGTATTTTTTAGCATCCTCTACATCGACGCGGTGACAACAGAGGTGATCTCTCCGCACGAAGAAAAACTTATCACCACGTTTGAAGAGTTGCTGTTAGGAGGGAAGTATAAATTTGTCTTGGATTCGGAGGACAATGTTCGCATGTTTGTGAAGTTTACCAGGCTGCCGAAGAAATATTGGAAAACGAGCATTAAAATTGTTAAGGGTGTAAACATTGCTAACTTACAAACGGATCCATTTCTTGTCCTGAAATTATTAGGGGAACACATGGGTGCATTTTTTGTGGCGGATTTGAAATTGTTTCCGGAAATGTTCCTCGAAACAGGATACAGATTCAGGTATATTGACCTTTTTTCCACTAAATATATCTGAATTAAATTGGACCAGTGTTTCTGTGCGGCAAACGGTCAGTGCCCGTGAGAAACAGACATGGAGCAGAGCGTATAGGGTAGATCGGGTAGAAAGTAAGACAATTCGAAACTTGGGCATAATTTAATAAAAACAATAGAAAATTGTTTTCATATAACATTTTTCAATATCCTAACCTCTGACCTGTAATTAAAGGTAGCAGAGGTCAGAAGTCAAGAAATGCTATGAAAATGAACATCGATGATTTTTTTCATATTACCAGTGCCAAAGTTTGAAATTTTTTGCATGGTACGATAAAGACCCCTTTTTTCTTCTCTGCCAATTTCTCACTAGCAAAGACTTTGTGGCTCACAGCACAAATTAATTATCTACACTCTAAGAAATTTTATCACCAGCGCGGTGGTCATATGTGACTCTACCGGCAGGTGGCAGAAGACCACCGGAGGGTGGATGCACATCACCAGCTTAGTGATGATCAATCACCGTGCGGTGGTGCAGTTGTCACCGTTCGGTGGTTGCAGCTGTCACCATTCCGGTAGAGTCACATATGACCACCGCGCGGTGATAGTTATCACCAGGTTTCTTAGAGTGTACTTGTCACGGTACTTTCAGAGTCGGAAATACGACTTGTGTCCTACTTAAGGAAACTAAGCTGATCAAGATGTCCCTTTGGACGTTAAGATTAGTGTTGGCTGATGAAGTTCGCCTGGCGCTGGAGAGGTTGAGAAGTTCAGGAATTCCAGGTAGATGGAGTGAATTAACGACACGCCTACATGTCAAAGGATTCTTCGACCGTAGGATAAAAATTGAGAATGCGACACGCACGAAATTCTTAGGGAGCGTGAATTTACCTCCGATGCCGCTCAAATTGGATTCCACACCGACAATTGTGTTTCTAGTTTATGCTTACGCAATTCTAGTAGCGGTGGGAGTAATGATACTTGAAGTGGTATTTTTGTGTGTGATATGGGTAAAATCTTAGTCTAGTTAAATGAAGGGTGACTTTACAGCGTGGACTAATCTGGGAACATTTTTGTTTTCAGAAGTGGAAGCTTAAAGATATTTCCATCAGTTTGGGATTCATTTGATCCAATTGAGTCATCTTTTATGACGATATTTTTGTGGACCTTTTTGTATCAGTTTCCTTATACACACACACTTAAGTAGCACCTTTTAATCTGCCATCTATACAGTATGAACCACTGACTAGATATACAACTAAAATCAATTTGCTTTTTTAGTCTCACCACTTTCAACAATCGTATTCATCTTCACACTAACAAATACATAATAAAAAAATGTTTATTGCTACATCTTATTTTTGTAGATACTTAAGGCAATTTAGATGATGTCATCATTAGAAAGGTTCATGTCAAATACACATTATGCATATGTAAATATTTCACCATGCTTTAATCGCGTTACAGGATTTTAAAACTAATAATATTAGGTTATCCCTACATATATACCAACTCAGATAATGTGTCAATTTCGATGCAGCAGCTTGCACGATAAATACATAATATTATGTATGCATCCAGACCCACGTACCAGACAACCCGTGCGAACAATTTGTACAATATGCACATTTCATAAATACATACATAAATATGTATCGATTATGAAATACTGGTCGTAAATATGTACTAATTATACGAAATACCAAAGTTTTGACATTCATTCACCCTGCTGGTTGGGTTAGAACTGCAGTAATCTGAATCGTTCCATTCTCTATAGATTCGTAAATATTAAGCTGCAATGAATACACTGTTCAACCAATTAATTTTTCTCGAAATAGTTTTTCTGAGTGGGACGAATTTAGCAAAATTGCTGAATTCTACCACACCTGTTATCAGTGATAATTTATTGTCAAAGATTGTTGGTGTAAAGAATTTCACTAAAATTGGAAACGGTACAAACACTTCGGGAAGAGATGACGAACATGAGTTAGAACAGGCACCCATTCACCTTCAATCTGAACAGACGTACTATGTGGGAGAAACGATAGCAACCTTGTTAGTAGATGAACATGCAAATGTGACAAAGTGCAATATATTAAAGGCACAGTAAGTATTTTGTTATATAATAGAAACTATTTGGTAAAAAATTGTTACCGGGTGGGCAACAGTTAAATTGGAAATTTAAATTAATCAAACTATATTTGTGTAAATTTCGTGGTCTGAATATTTCTAAATACTTACTTCGTTTCGTAGTGTCGATTTCTATTAAGTGGTAAAATATGTTACCAGCTCAACCAAATGTGTTAATTAACGCAGTACTTGGCAACTTTGTAAATCCGTAAATTTTGTAAAATAGTTTTACAAACTTTTATACAACAAAAAGACGCTCTTGAGCAGAGTACGTACATAAGGTTACAAAAAATTGGAAGCACATTTTTCGTAAAAATATTTGTAAAATTTTGCAAATGTACAGAATTTACGGATTTTACAAAGTTAAAAAAACCTGTGTGAATCGCATCAATATTGTTACCGCATTATTTACGGTTGTCGATATATGTAAATATTTCTCTCTTCCCAGCACATGGCCCCAAAAGAGGGAAGCGTTTGCCAAACTGAAAGCAAATTTCGTTTCGGAAACGACCCTGGAAACAATGTTGGGTTTTATAAGGACATGCCACTCGTTGGACAAGAGTTTCAGTTCGGATGACGACGGAGATGGCGAAGACGTCGTTAAGGAACGAGAACAAGGAGGTGGCGGGAATCCTATACAAACGGCGGCCAGCGTGTTTAGAGCGATAACCGGAATTTTGCCAGGTATGTATTTCAATATGAATATCATGCGATTCTTCGGAAATTTTGAAATTTATTAAATTCAAGGAACCAAATGGTGCGGGCTAAACAATGTAGCACATGGATGGCATGATCTTGGTGATGAAAGGGAACTGGATAAATGTTGCAGGTTGGAAGTGTCATATTTTTTTAATTTTCAAAATCATTTTTCGAAATGTCTTTAATTTTTTGAAAGGGGTCACGACGTCTGTCCCAAAACAGTCTCCGCATTTGGACGGGCATATGACTTACTAAATCTAAATGTTTACACAAGGTCTGAAGTTTAAAAATAATAATTTTCAAATTTTGTTCGTATCCATGACAACTGTTGTACATACAATTTATGGTTTCACTTAACAGCTCCCACTGCGAATGTGACGCCATGTTTTACGACTGTTTGAAGGAGATTGAGTCACAGGAAGGCACGGCTGCCACGCCGACAACGACGGTGGCCGGTTTGCTGGGAAATTTGTACTTCAACGTCCTCCGAGTACAGTGCATAAATGAGGAACATCCGCCAAAGTGTACGAGCAGATCAAAGTCGAGGAGGGGGCGCGGTTACGGGGACGGAGGGCTGAGCTGTCTCGAGTGGGAGGAGGAACCTTCCAGAACCGGGCAGAAATTAGTCTTTCGCGAATTTGGGCATAAGTGGTAGTTAGTTTCAGTTAGATAAATATGTAGTTAGTTAGATACTGAAGCTGGTCTCGGATCTGCGATGTCTAAAAAGTCCTGTTTTGATGGGAATCGAGCGTGCACGCGCTCTCACCTACTTTAGCCAATTTTAAACTTTGACCTAGAGATGCGAAATTTGGCATGCACATGCACCAACATATGCTGCATCATAATATAACATCAATTCCCGTTCCGTTCGCTATAAATTTTTCAGGAAAAATCAAAAACCAAATGTCACCCCTATTCCACTCGGTTTTTGATTTTTCCTGAAAAATTTATGGCGAACGGAACGGGAATTGATGTTATATTATGATGCAGCATATGTTGGTGCATTTGCATGCCAAATTTCGCATCTCTAGGTCAAAGTTTAAAATTGGCTAAAGTAGGTGAGAGCGCGTGCACGCTCGATTCCCATCAAACAGGACTTTTTAGACATCGCAGATCCCAGCCCGGCTTCAGTACTTATCGAAAAATCAGTAACAACGATTGCTAAAGCTTTGATAAGCAAGTTTGCTTGACTAAATGTGGCCAACTTTAACAATTTCTCTAGTACCAAATATGTATGCGGACACATGTGCTTAATCGTGATATAGAGAATAAATGTGAATAGTTCGATAAAAATCTATAATGTTTATTCATTCTGAATTTATATATATATGAAGGTAATTTATGACTATACGAAATTATGGGATATTCGATACATGTTCGCATCAGCTAAGAAAACATGTTTTAGAAACAATGAAAATTTACAATTTTTACCCAGGTAGAGATTCGATCAGTTTCATAGTCGGTTAAATATGTAGGTATTTAGAAATTTTTGCTAACGTTTAAACGAAATTACATAACGATGCGAACTTGTAGTGAATACATTCACGGTTCTACCTCTAATTTCTTTAGACTGCTAGACGTGGCATATTAAATGCGGCATTTTCGTTCATCACGACCACGCAGAGCGCCAGGATAAGAGCAGCGTCCACTCCAGCCTCGATTTCAATCAGGTACTCGTCCTCGCCTATGGGCGAGTTGGCCACTTTGTGCTATACAAGTTAGAAATTTTCATCAATTAAAAAATGTAGATTTATGTAATGATGATTTAAACAATTTCGGATACAACGTGATTGAAATGAAATATGTAAGATGCTTAATGGAAAATAATACAAATGGCATGAAAATAATTGGCCTGAATTACCGGAACTTTCTCCATGTTGGCCATCACGATGTAGGATTCTTCTTGGAGATAAATGCAGCAATGTTTTCTCTCCAGATTAGCTTTGACCAGAATTTTCCTCTCGGGATGCCTGTTCCCCGCGTCGGTGAAGTGTCCGGTGAACTTGGCTTTGCAGGCGGTCCTTTCCTCAGAAATTTTGCAGATTTCTTTATTTCCCTGCAAGTAGGAATGACCACGATTTATTAAAACCTTGTCATTTCATTTGGAAACTTGTTTTTTTTAATTTTCAATTTTAAAAAATTGAGAAAACTTGAAAAAAACATAATAAGCCGGAAAATTTTAGAAATTTTAGAAATAATATAATTGTAGATATATAATTATTTAATTGTCAATATCTAGTTTATCGAGGGATAAATATTCATAAAATTAATATCTTTCTATTGGAGTGTTCACAATTCACTTGACATCTTTCTCAAAAATACTTTCGAGTAGCTCGAAAATCTCACAAATTGATTTGTCTCATATTAAGAAATTTTCAAAGCTTCTCTAAAAATTCACACAAATATAATCTTATTTTTTGTTCTGATAAAAAAGATAGGAAATTAACATGTTTTATTTCTCAAGATTATTTCACAATTAATTTACAAATTAATTTCTTATGAAAAATAATGTTGACGTGAGCCCACCCACTAGCAACGCACACAAAATTGTCATAATCAAGTACATATGTAGGTAAGTACCTTATTATAAATTTTATAAATTCCTGCCAAGGTTTTCAGCTCTTTTTTAATTGTACAAATAACTTGCCCATCTTCTGAATCTTTCAGTACTTTCTTATCCGTTAAACTAAACACTTTCCCTTCACACTTAATGATCGACTTTCCACTGGTCTCATCCAGAAACTTTAGCGTCGATGACAAAATTTTGTCATGTACTTTTAACTTTGTTTTTGTCTGGAAACAGTATTTCTCCTCCGTTGCGAGAACTGGATCATGGCGAAAATCACGGGCCTGGTATTGTGGCGGCGATTGGTGCACTATTATGGCCGGAGCTACAACGGGTGTGGGTTGCATAATACTTATGTAAATTTAAGCAATATTGTCCAAACTTTTCGCGAAATTAATAGTGTATTTGCAATTTAGCTCTAATGGTTGCTGGTCGACTTAAATTTTTTGCACATATGTACATCAAGTTTGGTACTATACCTTGGTACCAAATTGTTGGCACAAATCAGAAATTTGAATTTTTTTCGGGATTGTATTTTATTTTTTATGTAACCATTTGAATTGAATGTCACCGTTTAATGGAAAATCGTTGCCACGCTAACGATACGGCTAAACGGTGCACATGTTTGCAGTGGTAATTTCGTTACCAAGTGGTACTGAACGCTGTAACAGAGTCGTCGTTTTAAAAATGTGTGAATTAAGTCGTACAATTGCGTTCGAAACAGATGTGCGCCGTAAAAAATGACTTGATATTTGAGAGAATGGAAGACGAAGGTGTACGGAAGCGAGTACAAGAAGAAGGATGAGATGTTGGACAGGGAAGGATTTGTGAAGTGCAGTGTTCTGCTATAAATATCTTTAAAGGCTAAAAGTATTTAACCATTGCATACATATGTAAACGAGTTGTGTAACACTCTGGCGTGTCAAATGAAGAAAAGAGTTGGCAAAAATAGTCATTTTTTATCTTCGCATTATTGGCACAGGTAAACAAATCTTTCGACGGAGGGGTGTTACATGTGCAAAATTTTCTGGGAACAGCAAATGTATGTATGTATATATGTACGTGTGGATACATATGTACGTATGCATTTATGTACATAAATACTTATATAGCCATCGATTTGCGTGTGTCGGATTGTCATGCATGCTTTGTTTACAAGCTTCTCTTACAAAACTTGTGAATAATAATTATTATTCATTCAATTATTATTCATAAATATGTAATTAATTACATATTTATATTCTTATGCCGAGATGAATTTATGCATAGTTATTTATGTAGTACTAAATATTTGAAATTCAAATATTTCAAATTTTGAATACTAATAGTAGTAAATAAATTTGGGGAAATTTAGGTATATGGAGAGTGGACCTCCTCTCAACTATGGGTCAAAATTCTCCGAAATCCATCACACATATCACACACGATGAAGTTAAACAATGGTAAAAACGTTCACCACCGAAACTTTATTCTCAACCGTCAACAAACGTTCATTTATGTACATGTTCTGGGTGACAAGTATTATTTTATCTACTAGTGGTGAAGCCTGTGTATAAGAGTACATAAGCATGGGGAAAATTATTTCAAACTGTTTTAAAATATCATCATAGACTTAATATATCTTCCCAAATTGTAATATTTATCTTGAATTAAAACGGTAAGTATGTGCGTAAATTCGGCACTAATTAATATAACAAATTGGTTCTGTGGCCACAGAAGGTGTAGGGACATTAACATTATAAGATAGGGAGGAATGGGTTCATTCATATAACATCGACAGATGATCGGGACATCGAATAACCGTGTGGGCACATTCTCAACGACTCTGAGGCTACTGCTTTTATGAGTTTCTAATGTCATATGTCATTTTAACTTCAATGCATAATTCTGTATTATAATAGTGGACACATGATTAGTTCGAATTTTCTATAATTACTGTTCTACATACTTACAATGGATGTCTCCCAATGTACGCTTTCCGATTTGGACCCAACTAGTGACAATCGATCACAAATTCAACTAGTATGAAATTTGCAAATGGCACTAAAAAGAGGATAAAGCGCACCCCAAGGTTGAAAAACTTTACAGTTTCCAAATTCTCCTCTTCGTATGCAAACATATACATATCTCTGCCAAACCTGTTCATTTGCAGATTGTGTCTTATATAGAAATGCCATAGTAATTAAATTTGTAATCAATTAACACTATGTATTTAGTGTGGTCAAAATCGGAAAGTATGAGACCTCCATTGTATCAAAAACACTACCTTGAGTTGAAGAATCGACATTTTTTACTAATGCCACTATACAGTGAAAAGTTAAGATCTCTGGATCATCACCATTATCTCATTCAACACAAAATTCAACGACTTCTCAATTTTATTATACTCGATTAAATATGTACAAACGATTGATAAGGGCGATGAATTTGCTATCTCACGTTGGTTATTCAACCGTCCCGTAATCGCGACTACGTAACTGCCAACTTCACCAAACTGCCAACTTCACCAAACTGCATCAAATCCATCAAGGATTATTCTTCCCGTAGAAAAAAAGTTGTAGCAAAAGTTGCACAGTTTCAGTTCAATTATGTCCCAATTCCCAATTGCTGCCGTGGTAAAAATTCTAATTCACGACCCAACACTTTCTCGTGGGAGTAACGAGTTTGCAAAGTTACTTGGCATTGATGCAGTCGCGAGGGATAAGATACGCAGTAATCATACTTTAGGAACAAATACTTCTACCAATTATTACACCGAATTGCTAGAAAACTGGGCAGGGCGTTTAGGGAAAGACGCAACCGTGGGCAAACTTCGAGGAATTCTGGAGCAAGGAGAATTCCAGAGTGCTGCTGGTATGTACCCTATATACATCTTAAAATGAAAGACAAAATTTGAATTTATCCAGTACACTTATTGTCAATCTATCACAAATTTAATTAGTATCAAATTTGCAAAAGACACGATTTCCCAGTGGGCAGGTTTGGCAGGGATATTTGCATCAGAAAAAGACAAAAGGCACAGAAAATTTTAAAAGTTTAAAATATGTCGAAAACCTTTATGATGCGTATTCTCATCTCTGGAGGCAAATATCTTCGCCGAACATGACCATTTGGAGATCGTGTCTTAGCTAAATTTCATACTAATTTAATTTCTGATCAGTTGACAATCTGGTCAAAATCAGAAAGCAAACATAACTTGGGAGACTTCCATTGGCAGTTCAATACATTAGCATGGAGATTTTTGCGTGTAAAATTTCTATGAGGCGGTGACTTCAAATTTCTATATTTCTCTTTAATTCCAGATTTATTGGAACATCTCGACGTACCAGATCCATCTAAAAACTCAGTCGACCAACCCACCCAGGCCGACATGTCTGACGCCACCACGTCGACCCCAACACCCGCCTCGACCGACATGTCCGTCTTCCTTTTGTCGAATCAAGCCGTGCGGAGAGATGTTACGAAAACCTTGCAAAATCAGGTACCTCTGCTTACGGCATGGGAAAGGTTTTGTGACGACTTAGATATCCCGAAAGGGGAGTTGATAACATGCAAGCAGCAGTATTCGAATGGCTGCATGACGAATTATGCCCTGCTTAATCATATCTTAAGCCTTTGGGGATCCAGAGAAGGGAGCGAAGGCAACGTTGCCAACCTGATAAAAGTGTTAAGATCGGGTGAATTTCTTGATTCTGAGAGTAAGTGGTTAATATGTATTCTAAATTGCGTATTGCGCATTCTTCAATATTTCATTTGATTCGCTGTACTAATTTTGTGTAAAAACTTCCAGACAAAATCAAATGCAAATTCGCGTCCTGGCCGATAAGTCAACAGTAAAGGCTTGGATGAAAGAAGCGTAAACATCCTGTTGTTCTAGGCCTGAGATAAACGTCCTCAAATGTTTAATTAAATATGTGGCTCAAATAAAGTGATATTTTGACAATGATTCATTCACATTAAAGTGTTATCAAGCAGGACGATTAATCACATTTTATCAGAGCATTGTTCATATTCGCTTTGCAAATCAGTTCAATACTTGTAATGACATGTATGTATTTATTTACATAAATTTATTTCATGCAAAAAGGCGAGATCGGTCATTTGTAAAAAAAAAATGAGGTAATGATGATGTAATGAACTACAGATACAATGCGACAGACAGGAAACAAGTAGGCTGCTTGAAGACAAAAATTGAACTTATGCGTAACAATTATTGTCATTAATTACCGCAACCTTGTCAATGCTGGATATCAATATTTATGTATTTAGGATTCTTTTTGAAGGTACATAGGTTGGAATGTTCGCTATTAATTTAAAAGTGATTCATTCAATGGCAGAATTTTGTGTAGTTTTTCCAATTACACAAAATCCACAAAATTGAAGTTCCCGAAAAAATTTGTGAAATCTTAGGTTAGTACATATATTTTTAACTGTAAGTAATTGATCCATGCGTACAAATTTGTAAAATTAATATCTTCCCATTGGGGGCTCACTTTTGCAGATTTGCATACATATATCGAAAGTCTGGCAAATTTACTTGCATAATATTACGAAATTTGGGAAGTTTCGCCCAAAAGCTCAAACACATAAGATCTAATTTTATTCCAAGCAATATATAATTAAGTATAAATTGCTGAATTGAGTACCTCATTAAAAATGTACGCAATATCGTCTAAACTATTCGAGACAGAATGATTTCTTACGTTTCTTTTATTACAATGGATTACTAAACAACAACATTTTATAAATATGCTTTCATACATACAACAACCAATTAAACAAACAAGATAACGGGAATACATTTACAATTCGTGATTATTCCACCATGACATAATCCATGACTTCATATATGCATATAACTGTAAAGTTGGAAGTGCAAACCCAGTCAGTCTACATCAAATCCATTAAGTATTATTTTTTCATTTACGTAGGACAAAAATTCTAACAAAAGTCATAGAATTTGAATTCAAATATGTCGTCCTTCCCAATTGTTCAAGTGGTAGAAATATTAATCCAGGACGGCCCCCTTTCTAATGGGAGTAACCAGTTCGCAAGAATTTTAGGTATTGATCCAGTCACGAGGAAAAGGATACAAAATACTCATAATTTAGCAAAAGGTAATGCTACCGATTATTACACGGAATTGTTGGAAGCATGGCAAGGGCCCTTAGGAAATAAGGCTACTGTGCAAGCCCTTCGAAAAATCTTAGAAGACGAAAAGTTCAAAAGCGCTGCTGGTATGTACATCTAAAATAGAAATATTAACCTCAACATGATACCTAAAATAGTTCAGAATACCTCAAATAGTTCAGCCGTTAAGAAAACTGCAATTATAAATTTCATGTTGTTCGATGAGTTGATGGAAAAATTGAAATATCTACGTTCAAATTATCCTCAACAAATTTCAGATTCTTTGGAACATCTCGACGTACCTGAGCTAGACAAAAACCAAACAACCACCACGCCCGCTTTGGCTGCTGCGCTATCAGCGTATCGTTTATCCGATCAAACCGTACGGTCAAAAATAGTGGACATACTGCTCATCGAGCCTAACCTCATTAACGAATGGGTCGCGTTTTGTGGCTGGTTAGGCATCCCGGAAGTGGAGCTAGTACAGTGGAGGCCGCAGTATATGGTGGCCATCATGTCGAAATATGAACTGCTTAGTAAGATCCTTAGCGTCTGGGGCTCACGAGAAGGGGGAAAAGCAAATGTTGCCATTCTTATAAAAGTATTGAACGATCACAAGTTTCTGACGGAGTCGAGTAAGTGGTTTTTCGTAATATGTTGATTATGTATGTAACTGTCATTTATCTGTAATTGAGTATAATGTTGTGTTCTTTAATTCCAGCAAAGATTGAGGACAAATTCAAACTTGCTGAATAGATACAAAGAATAATAAATAATGAAATCATTTGTTCGCGAAAATGCCTTATTATCGTTTGCATACCATCATTTGGTGAAGCGAAGAAACATTATGAAAAATAGACAAACTTTAACCAACGAAATGTAAAATGTAAATATTTATTGCTACAAAAATGTAGCGATCAACAGGGTAAAAAATGTCACTCATGGCTTGTCTGACCCTTTTGTAACCGGCTGAGCGAATCAGATTTTATAACTGCCTAAGTCTAATGTACATACCTACTAGGTACTACTAGGTACTATGTTAAAAATTACACATGTTTGTACAATACTCTTCACAGGTCATTTCGAACGTATTTATTTTGAGGTCATTGTAGCTACGAAGAAGGAAAAATCGACTACAGATCGTGTAAAATTATTAACTGGCTTTATTTCCAGAAATAAATTAGTAACTTTGTCAGTTTATCTACATAAATAGTATCAAAAGGGAGTATGCCCATTAGATCCGCACTCCAATTTGCTATATGAATGTACATAGAATACATAGGTATCTCGATTCATTTTTAATGACTTTCAGATTGTGTGACTATGGCGATTGAATACCCTGCATATTTATCAATGAATGTACAATTATGTTATATGAACACTTTGCAGTGTCAGATAAATAAACATGCGTATTAGTTATGTTGTGTTGGTAACGCTTACGTAATAATATTAATAATTATTACCCAACAGTGTAAAAATACCACTTGTTAAATTATTTGTTATCTAAAAATTGGTTACAAAACTTGGCTTAGGTGAGGGGGCATATAAATGTCTTAAACAAGATAATAATCTAAAGGGTCTATAATTATTCCGCAAATCTCACCAAATATTAGTTTATTAAAGACTGTATTTTGATAACTTTTAAATAGATAAATAATTTTCACGTATTTAGAAGCTGGTCTGGATTGAAGACTTCCTTTTAAATGCAAATAAGTATGTGGAAATGAAAACTCTTAGAACCAATTGTACGATGATCTTGTATTAAATGTAATTATGTAACTATGAGGAAATGAAAACCAAGTGCTCAAATTGTAAAGAAATAGGTAACAGACTTGATTTTTTCTCTTACATTTTTACCTTGGGCTAGGAAATTTTTGAAAATATTTACAAAATTAATACTGACTTTCCTCGGATATGATAAAACTATATTTATGTATGTACCTGTATCACTGACATTTTCTTAAAAGTTCAATCTGTGGAGCCGCCTGAACTTCTTGTGAATAGTTGCGTGTATATTTCATAATTTCAATTTAATTACCATATCTCTTAATGCTATAGAAATACACGCATAAGAAAATTATCATGAAATCATGAAATATAAACGCTGCTATTCGTTTAAATCGTTACGAGAGATATGATTATCATTGATGTTTTACATATGAAATTTGCCGTTGCATAATTTTAATCTCGCTTGTTTGTCTCACATATGAACCTGGAAATCCCAATATTATCGTCATGCTGATATATGTATGGTCGATGTGTGATAACATTGTTACACTAATAAATAAAAGAGGACTATAAATATAATTTTGGCTTCATTGAACTTCGAAAACCCGTCACTCCATTTAGTAACACACTTCTAACTTCACGTAAGAATCATCCAAGGGTTTAGCGTTATCCTGTCAGTTTTCTGCGGGATTACGACCATTCTAGCAGTTCCCGTGGTACGACCACACCCACCGACCAAACCAGAGAATTGTAAGCAGTCCGTATAAATATGTATGTATCGTCTGTTTGTCACTAAATATATGTACAACTTTGGAAAGCGATTTTCATAACAATATTTCCAATTCTTTGAGGGAGTGGGAGATTACTTAGGTTCAAATATCCTTATCTGGTGATGGGGTGTGTTGTCATGAAATTTTACAAAAAATCATTTTGTGTAATTAATAGTAAAAATAATTAATAATAAAAAATAGTAATTTCATTACTATTTTTTGATAATTTGCTATACCAAGTGTTCCCAATTTGTGAAACAATTTTCCTCAACGGGCAGGTTTCTAAGAAACCGTTTCTTATCGCTTCCGCTCATTATTAGGAGATATGACAGTTCTTTGAAATTAGAGACAATGAGTGGATACAAATTTAAAAAATTACCGAGTTAAATTTTTTTTCCCTGTATAGATGTAAAACCAATGGAATATCCTTCCTTCGTCAACCCAATTTTTGACATAAAATTCACCGAGGAACAACTCCAAGCCAAATCCGGCCTACCAGATGAGCAAAACCGATGGCGAGATGGGTTTTATGTCCATCCTGACCCCACTTTTAGTAAGCTGTCACAAATTTAAATTACCAATCACTAAAATTATTTTTCTTAGGTGAAGGAAGAGTAACCATAAGGTGATCATGTTAAAAGATCACCATGGTTACGGCGAAGCCTAGGTATGCAATCAGCTGCAACTTTGAAAAGGTCGCACTGAGATTTCGCCCAAACCGTTCGTTGCATGGAAAACATGCTGAAACAAAAAAACCAGAGAATTCTGTTTTACAGATACGTTTTTTTTTATTTTTTCAAAAATTCTAATTCCTTCAGGTAGAAAGTCCGATGCCTAAAATTTCAAATCCATTTCTTGGCATCAAGGAAGTGTTTCCGACCGGGGGCTTGCCATTTTTATTATTCTCCAGGATAATACGCAAATTGTAAGCCTTTGTTCGACTTAATCGGATCAAAACTGACGGAATTAGAGCTTTTTGAAATATTTGCATTAGGCAACCTATTTACGTGTTAAGTTACTGGTTGCTAACGTGCGGTGATAGTTTATTCAGCATCGCTATTCAATACTCAACATATCCAATGTTGCTAGACAATCGAATTACGTTATTATTAGATCGCTAAGTGTCAAGGCATCCTTGACAGAACAGAACAATCCTTAAAATTCTGAAACTGGGGGATTAAATTGGCATGCCACGCATCCACAAACAGGAGAATTAACAACGTTTAAGATTTTATAATTGCATATGATTTTATGCATATAAGTTCACAAATCACTAAAAATAATTAAATAAATAAATTTTAAAAAACAAACTTAGGTGAAGGACGCGCTTAAAATATTAAAACAAGAAGCATTAAAAAATGTCATAAATCGCTTAATATTTATTAACTTTTACTTCACCGGGGGCCCAACTGTTAAATTTTCAAAGCAATGATAATCAATAATAAATGTAGCTAAACCAACGACTTGATTAAATATGAAGGGCAGCATTACAGAAGTTATTAAAAATACGCCAAAACATGAGCAAATTTCCTCTATAAGAGGTGTCGCGATTTATTGAAAGATAATCATTCAAATCTTGCAAGTTTAATATACAAATACATATTACGCATTTCGTATAATTGTTCCAAATCCTTGAAAGTATACCTTTTTTCCTGTGTTAGTTGGGCCCCCGGTGAAGTAAAAGTTAGTAAATATTAAACGATTTATGACATTTTGTAATGCTTCTTGTTTTAATATTTTAAGCGCGTCCTTCACCTAAGTTTGTTTTTTAAAATTTATTTATTGAGCTCGTATGTACATATGTTTTTCGCAGATAAGGACGAGATGGCCATCATAAATGAAGGTCTGTACGAATTATCGACTCATTTGTGTATCAGAATCCTCATGTGGCCGCAAGACTCTGAACCTACGGGGGATTATGTTGAAATTGTGCGGGGTGCGTCAGGGTCAGGGTGTTGGTCGTACCTGGGACGGCTTGGTGGTCGACAGGTGTGTAATTTTTTATTGCAAAATTTGGCTATCAATATCAATAAATCTCTCCCAGGGTGTGCCCTCCGATTTTCATCAAAATAGTGTCAATCGATCACAAATTTAATAAAGATGAAAGTGTCCAATAACACAATCTGCCAATTCTAAGGTTTATCAGTTGCATCAAAAGCGGAGAAAACGCGAAATAAATTGACAGGCATGGAACCTGTAGGTCAACTGTTACCCCGTTTTCTGTTAATGAAATAATGTAATTTATAAATTCCACATTAATTGAAGTTGTGACAGATTGACACTAATTTTATTAACATCGGAGAGCATACATTGGGAGATCTCCAGTGTATTTACATATGTACGTTACATTAATTTAAATTTATACTGGAATTGAACCTCCAACACGACGGGTGCGTAACGGCATCGATCCTGATTCACGAGTCCATCCTTGGGTACACCCACGAACAATGTCGTCCAGATCGGGATGACCATATTGATGTTTTGTATGAAAATATTATCCAAGGTGAGTCATAACTAAATTTAAGGAAGGAAAAGTAAATACATGATGGATAAGATCTTATCTAAAATTATCTATGTTATACAGACTACCACTTTGCATATGACATTTTGCAAGGTTCCATAACCTTCGGAGTACCGTACGATGTCCGCTCGATTATGCATTATAACAGCCAAGGGTTCAGTAGTAATGGGCAGCCAACGATTTTGACTAAGGTTAGTTACAGATAAATACCTAAGTAGTCGTCATAAATTACGAGTTTGGAGGTATGCAATAGCTTTGAGGATCATAAAATCACACTACTGCCTCAAGTTTTTCATATAAATGTACACAGTTTACAAAATATTCGTCAATTTTAAAACATTTGCTTTATTAAGGGGTGAAAGCCCTTTATAAGATCGTTATGTCCGTCTGTCTGTCCGTCCGTCCGTTCGTCCGTCCGTCCGTCTGTCTGTCCGTAGCTCCGATAACTTTTGAACGAAAAGACATAGACACTTGAAATTTTGAACGTAAACTCCTAACGTCAATGGACAGGACGAGTGCGAAGATGGACACTGTGACATCGTCACCTGTGACGATGACGTCGTCACAGTGACGAAAAGTGACGAAAAAGTGTCACGTGTCAGTTTTGACATGTGACACATCATTTTTAACTATTTTTCAATGAGGAATTCGAAAATTCATGTCATTTTGCGGTTGGACGTCACCTGTGACGATGACATCGTCACGGTGACGAAAAGTGACGAAAAAGTGTCACTTGTCAGTTTTGGCATGTGACACATCATTTTTAACTATTTTTCAATGTCAAATTCAATGGTGACCTCCATTTTGACCTCAGAGGTCATGTAAAGGTCATAGGACATATCTATTTCAATTTCAACTGAAATTTAACCCAGAATTCAATGGTGACCTCCATTTTGACCTCAGAGGTCATATAAAGGTCACATAAGGGTTATCAACTGTTAAATTTGACACAAATAAGACACAAAAGTCGAAAACACGTCAGAAGTGTCAATCTTAACAAATTTTCGAACAATTTGATATTCACATTGACGTATGACACTCCTTTCACCCCTTGGTTACATGCGTTGTAACGGTTTATTCTAGAATGGGACTGAAATTTTTACCAACACAGAGTTGACTGGATATGATATTCAAAAACTGCAAAGGATGTATAATTGCTAATAATGATATTATGGTCTATCTTTGTGTTATGCTGATGTAATCCAACAAGAAGCAATAAAAAACGGCAGGATGTATGTAATAAAAGTAGAACATAAGATAAGCGTAGAAGGTCGTATCCTTTTGACACACCTACTGTTCACGCATACCTCTATATCTCTTGAAATTCCTAACGCATTCAACCAAAACTTACTACCAGAACTGATACAGATATTACTCCCAAACATGAACAACATCATTTGATTTGAATAAAAAAGGAACTAAACTACTTAAAAATACGATAGCAGTCTTCTGTACGATTTAAACTCAAACTCTGTCGACCTGACTGGGAAAGGGTATATGTAATAGTTTGAAGCGAAGATGCAGAGTTGTTCATACATATGTACGTACATATAAATCATTACTATCAGCTTTTTTTTAATGTAAATTATACATGCTCTGCGAAAACAATTTCTATGCATATTCTATGCTCTGCGAAAACAATTTAAACTCCAATGAATCAACATAAAAGCATTGTCATCATGTGGAAAGGGCAAATCCTAACAATGAGTATGAATAAGGTATTTTAATTTTATCCACAATACAAATAGTTATAGTATGAAGGAATTTGAATGCATTATTAACTAAATATTTAACAAACTGCATCAGTCTGTGTCGCATAGTTTTTAAAGAACATTCCGATCTTGGAGAAACTTGGTCTTTTTGTCGGATCCAGTTCCCAGCATTGTTTCATCAGAGCAAAACTAAAATAAAATATTCGTGCGGCTAGTGCACTTTTCTAAATATTTATTACTGCAAGGAAATTTGAAAATGTCGTTACGTTTCATCGTCACAAGATTTCGGACATGGGAGTCTTTGTCCACTATTAAGGAATCTGATAATGTCCACCATTTCACCCAGGTCCGGATAAGGCTCCTCGCCGAGGCTAAAAATTTCCCAAATTGTCACCCCGTACGACCAGAACTTGAGCCCCATCAGCGACTCGAAGCTATTCCACTTAACAGGAATCCAAATCTGGAAATAAATTATTTGAAAACATGCTACATTTTTTTCAAAATTTGTCTACCACAACAACTCACATGGCCTCCTTGAATTTTTTTGTAATACAAGGTGTCATATAGGTTCTTGCTGAGTCCAAAATCACTAATTTTAGCAGTTAAACTCGTCGAAAGTAGCACATTGCGACTTGCAAGGTCAATATGGAGCAACTAAATGTGAATTTCTCCGTTTATTAATAGCAGAAATAAATATTTATATGCAAATAATTTGCGGTACATTTTTCGTCGTCAGGTAGTCCATTCCGGTTGCAATTTCGGCCGACCATTTTCGAATCTCGGTCTGTGGAATTGTGAAAGACGGTGTGCCGAGCTGAGGACCTGATCTTCTAAGTAAACCGGAAATAGGTGAATAATTTAATGTTATAATTGTATTGCTTCACTTCATAAATTCTGATTCTAATCTTCTAAGTTTCTACTAACAATTCTTCAATTGGTGCGGCATCTGCATGAAAAATATATCCCCTTTGTTGCAACTGAGCGTTAACCGTGGATGTGGAAGCATTTTGCCAATTCCTAGCTTGAAGAAGATATCTGTGCAAATTGTCCACGCAAAGCTCCATCAAGTATAAAAATTCCCCTGCATCACAATTTTCAAAATTATGTATGTACGTAATCAAATTTACATAAAAATTTGGAACTATAAATAAATTGAAATATTGCGTTTATGTTCATACATTTCTTGGGATGGAAATTACAATAAAATCCCAAAAACTGGACCACATTTTCGTGTCGACCAACACGGGACATTATCTTAATTTCGTTCATGAGTAATCTGAGATCATCAAGTCTAGCAGTTAATTCATTCACAGTTTTTATGGCGCAGTCCACCTTGTGCTGATCCGGTTCCGAGGTAACGCTTCCTTTGTAGATGACGCCATAATTTCCGCGGCCGAGTAGAATATTCTTGAAAACTGAAATTATTCGGATACTTTAAATTTATGGAGTGGATAAGTTCTGACTTGGTACATAGGTAAATCTGATATGGACAACTACTCTCCTTCCACGCAAGTTTGAACTTTTACAAAAATCGAGAACTCTGAGAAACTACGGCACTGCCAATCTCAAAGTTCCATGTGGACATGTCCATAATTGTCTGTCGTCTCATTTTCGGGTTTTCAATCGATAAAATGTACATAAGTAAATATATGCATACGTTCAATGTTCTGCCTCTTAATAGAATATTCCTCATTTCCATCATTATTAGTGATGGCGATAAACTTTGTTGGATTCACTTCCGGTCGAGTCCAACTCGTTATCTCCCCTCCACTAAATAGTTCGTGCTTAAGTTGCTCTGTTTCTTCCGGCGTGAAGCAGGTCTTGCGTTTCCTTCTCTTCACGCAGTAAGTCAGTCCTACTGCTGAAGTGACCATTACAATTAAGCCGATTGCAATCCCAGCGATGGCCCCTCCTTAAAAGTCATAATTTGCAAATGGTACATAGATTACTTGCACATCATTGCATCATACCTGTTCAAAAAAAACTTTTTCCATTCAAAGTTCAATCATCTCGATTTCTGAGTGAAGATTTTCATTCATACTCACAAGGGAACCTAAATAACTGTCCCATCTCGATTTCCTTCGTAATAGCCTTAATCGACAGATAATTTAACGAAACTAAAACTTTATCATAGAACATGCGGTGCAAAATCACGTTTTCGCGAAATATTTGGCTAGAACTACACCAAAACCTGCATTTTCCCAATACTTTTAACATAGCCCCCAGCCTTTCGAATGATGAAATGAACTTCAGAGAATATTGAAAAAATATTTATGTACCCGTCTGCGTAATTTTAGCCCGGTCACGAATATGAAAAAAGTGATGCAGACATTTGCCAATTATTTGCAAATTGCGAAAATCGGAAAAATTTCGCAAATTTGAATTCTTCGTCCCTTTAAATTCAACAAAATTGTAACTAATGTAAAATGCAATTTTCTTATTGCAAAAAAAATTGCAAAAATTTGCAATGATTGAAGTACGCAATTTTTCAATTTTTCATTATCCTTTCATTATACAAACTAAAAAATTATCATTTATATACATATGCATGTACGAATGAAGGAAAAGCTAATTTGTTTAAGAACTAAAAATCACGCCACACATTGCAATTTTTTGCAACTTGCAACAATAAATATGGCAAATAATTTCGAAAAATATGTAAAAAATAGATTAGCATTGGTTATTTTAACTAATTTTCATGGAAAATTGCGAACTTCAATTTTTGCGAATTTTTGCAAATTTTTTGCAATAAGAATATTGTATATTGCATTAGCTAAACTTGTTAATTTTGTTCAATTTAAATGAACCAAGAATTCAAATTTGCAAATTTTTTCCGATTTTCTCAATTTGCAAATAATTGGCAAATGTCTGCATCACTTTTTGCATATTCGTGACCGGGCTGAAATTATGCGGACGGGTACATAAATATTTTTCAATATTCTATAAAGTTCATTTCATCATTCGAAAGGCTGGGGGATATGTTAAAAGCATTGGCAGGTTTTGGTGCAGTTCTCGCCAAATATTTCGCGAAAACGTGATTTTGCACCGCATGTTCTATGACAAAGTTTTAGTTTAATTAAATTATCTGTAGATTAAGGCTATTACGAAGCAAATCGAGATGGGACAGCAGTTGAGGTTCCCTTGTCAGTCATTTTCTTTCAAACTCGTTTCACTTCACTTCATCTGACTTCATTTGTTACTTCGCCCCATGTATTAAGCATAAGGTGAAAAATGAAATGAGTAAGAAATCTTTCATTCACAGTCATTCAACTGAAATGACTGAATCTTTCACTCATTTTCATTCAAATCAGAGGAAATTCTTTTTCATTCACTATCATTCTCTATCATAATCAGTCAAATGAATGAAAGTGAACATGTATGCATTGAATATTTACCAACGTACCAGAAAGTGAAGCAGTATCATGTTCTATGAAGATCTTTGGTTCGCAGGTGCAGTTGAAAGTGTTGAATGCAAGTAATCCGTGCCATACGTGGTGTTTTGGGCAAAAAACATAAATAGTCACCATTTTGTACAATAATTGTAATTACCTAGTTATGTACATATGACAATATTTGACAATGCCTACTATACTTACTTCCGGCACGATTGATGTCGTTTCGTTAAGGTGGATAAAATCTTGAGCAGCCGATGCTCGAACGCTGCAACCAGAATTAACGCGGAGCGATCTAATTACCGCGAAATTACTCGGATTAAACGAGGTAGGACAATTGGTAAGACGAATCGCGTCAAAATGACAGGATTGGCAGCCGTATTCTTGATAAAGTACTGCACACGTGTCAGTATCTAATTGTAAAGTTTGAGGCTGACATGTATCCGATTTTACATCTGGTGGCACGACGTCTTGCTGTTTGCTGCATTCATTGTTATTAAGTGGTCCATTCTGTGATAAATTGCACCATTCAGGTTAAAAATTAATGGGAACAAATAAATATGGTACTTGATTGCCATTACCATGCAGCCGCAACTTATTGAAACTGTATCGTAATCTCTGTCCTAAAAATGTTCGGAAAAACGAATTAGGTAGTTTTGGTAAATTACCCAATATGTAAGTAAGTTATGTATCACCGTCATGTATTTATTTCGACCATGGTGGGTAAAGTGGAGGCATTCCGCGAAAAATGCGGTTTCTCCGTAGTGTCTGTGACATATCGTCACGCGACAGTTGGGATTCATCACGTTAACGAACTTTGTCCAGGGTTCGCTACCCCGGGTTATTGTGGGTTGGGGTTTTTGGGGTTTTTGTGGGTTTTTGGGGTATCAAATTTCCGGAAAAACCCTAATGCTTAATGGGGTTTTTGCGGGTTTTTGTGGGTTTTTCCGGGGTTTTTGTAGGATTTTGAGGCAGATTGCAACAAAATCTCTTAAACTACTAAGTAGATCAATGCTAATTAACTTCTCTGATTCATCTTGAAATTTTGAGAATTTTCATTTGCGACTTGAATTTCTAAAAATCATTACATATTTCCAGGTTTACATGTCAAACATGCATTTTGGATGTAACAGTCCCAATCAATGATAACGGTTAAAATTACATGTTAAAATTGTATATTAAATTAGTATTTCTCTAATAAATAATTTTGGGAATTCTGGTTCAACCTGCCCCAAAATCTACAAAAACCCAAAAACCCAAAAACCCACAAAAACCCCAAAAACCCCGGAAAAATCCACGGGGTTGGGTTTTTCTACAAAAACCCAGGGGTTTTCCGAACCCTGACTTTGTCCCTTCGTTTAACGTGTAAGAAAGCGAGTCAAACAGGGAAACTTCCCAAGCAGTTTGTTCCGTGATGTATGCCAAGGTGTAGTTCCCACCGAAAAAATGGTCCGTCGTTATGGTTCCGCAAAACGACGGATCTAGAATTTGTATAAAACTAACAATGGAGGTCTCCCAACGTATGCTCACAGATTTGGACCAAACAAGCGTCAATCGACCACAAATATAATTAGTACGAAATTTGCAAATAGCACTATCTGCCAATGCTCAAGTTTGGCGGAGATATTTGCATAAAAAGAGGAGAAAACGCACCCCCAAGGCTGGCAAATATTTCATTTTTAAAATTTGCTGCGCATTTTTCCAGCTTGGGATGCAAATATCTCCGCAAAACTTGAGCATTGGCAGATAGTGCCATTTGCAAATTTCGTACTAATTATATTTGTGGTCGATTGACGCTAGTTTGGTCCAAATCTGTGACGTCGGGAGACCTCCATTGTAAGATGCCGTCAAAAAAAGAATAGGTACATCCGTACACATGTACATTAAGTTTCTGATAAGAGTAAACGCTACAATTACATATCGCCAAATTGGCCCCAATCTAAAGTATGAGATACGGCTGGGCTCGTTACGTTTGCATAACATTCATATTGGCATATTTTTTAACCTGTGAGATCAGCCGACTGGGGTGGACGGATAGGTCTGCTCCCGGGCACAGTGGGGGCATCACTGCAAAATGAAGTTCGGCAATAATATCTGTTTTGTATCAATATATTAGAATTTTTTAATAACTCACCCTGAACAACAGTAGCATCGCCCCTTTGGCAGTGTGCAGTTTTTATCCACCAGAACGTTACTACAATTGTAACTGAAACGATTTGCATACAAATTTTGTGTCTCGCAAAATGCATCTCGGCTCTCATAATTGTTCAGGAAACAGTGCGATTTGGGATATTTTTCGGAGCAGCAGCCATAGTAAACGAAACCTGGTGGGAAATTGTCGTCGCAATACGTGTTCACAAATGGCTCATGGAATGAATATGATGCTGCAGATATTTTTGGCACGAGAGATAAGATATCGATCCCATTATTTCCAGCGTGACAAATCAAGAAATAATTCGTTAGTTGAGCAATTAAGAATATAAATGGCAACATTTTAAAACAATTGAGCTTAGCAGCAGCAAGCATTTGACCAAACATGTGAATTTGTTGAGATTCGGTGATACAGAAGTGGAAAACCTGACCTACTTCGAGAATTGCATGATTGTCGGCTTTGATTGCGAATTGCTTTATTTGTCATTTTTTGCGATATGGGTTGACTGATTATTTTTATTGATAAGGGAATACTCTAACGCAATTCAATTCTCCGAACACGGTGTGGATAAACGCATTAATGAATATATCAGGTCAGTTTAATTCCGTAGGAATATTGTTTTAACTTAAAGAAGAACGTACCTAGCTTAAATACCAATATGTGTATTTATGTATTTACTTAATTTTAAAACCTTGTATCTCAATTTCTTCGTAAAGAACAAAAACCTAACATACAGCAATCCTCTCTGTCTCAATTCCTCCACGAAAGCCAGAATCCCAACCTCACCCCCAATAATCACTAGAAAAAATATAACTCCAATATTTCCCTATAATTCCTGCGGATCAAATACATTGATTGCTTTCAGCGCATTAATTTTATACCCAGAAAAATATTTAAAAATATTATCATTTCATCCCACTCTTTCGTCCGGTAGGTTTGACATAGCGAAAAGTTGGTCTTGCCATATCGGAATGTGTACAATAAGGGTATCGAAAATATCGAAAAAATTTGGGAGTAAGTTATTATTTTTGTTAACAAAGCTAAAGTAGAGGGAATGAATTTTATATTCATTTTTACAGTGGAACTGGTTATCTATTTATCCATAGTGTCTGTTTGTTCGCCAGTCTGAAGTATGGAACGGTTTTAGCTTGACGAAATTGCTTAATTTAGCTTAAATATGGGTAGGATCAAGGATGGTTGACATTTGTTTGTATAAATTGGCGGATATTGAAGTAAGTAATTATTATCGATAAACCCTAGTCACGTAATACGCTGTAGAAAACTGGAGAATCAGGTAGTGGTATCGTGGTATGAGATGCTATAATATATGGGACAAAACGACATTCTGCGTCATATTCTGGTTTAATTATGCATAATCATAAATATGCACGCGTATAAATATCAAGGAATAACTTTAAATTCTGTAAAATAATGATGGTGTATGCTATTATTTGTTATTTAATGTACTTGTATATGAATTTTTATATGTATGGACTTGCAATTAATACATTAAGCTGTGTCTAAAATAATACCGCTACTTGGGCGGTAAATGTATGTAGACACGCAATGTTTTCGTTTGACGAAAATATACTTTATTTCGCACGTATTATGCCAAATTGATTAAAATTTTTTATGGTAATCCTTAAACGCACATTTGATCGTCATAATTTATTCAAGAACGTATGACGTATGTAAATTTATTTCGCTATGATGGGGAAGTATTTTTGATCTTATGACCTTGCTGGCCGGTCGGTGAGAGCATATGAAATCCGAGAATGTATCCATTGGAAACTTTGAGATAGTTTAAAATCTAGAAGAAATTAAAGGTTCAAATTTAGTTTAATGCTATTAGTAATAACTTATTACTCTGCCATTGAAAGGAATATGTAAGTACGTTCCAGTACATATGTACATAGTGTGTTCATGCATAAAATAAATATGCAAATATATGTAAATATGTAATCGTTCAGCGAAACATGTTTTAATGTGTGATATCCGATTACTCTGTCGTGTACATATATACATAAATACATGTTTTCTTACATACGTCAACAAATTTTGTATTAAATTTTGGATAGTAAATATTCTGAAACGATAGTATGTACACGCTAAAAAATCCGTACGGTGTTTAAGTATATCCGTATTGAGACTTGAGTACATACGTATCGAATTTTGACCCAAGAGCTATTAGAACTCAAGATGAGTACGTAATGCGTACTAGATGCATTTAAGCACATTCCCACTAAAGTTTAAGAGCAATTGGACGCTGATCTACGTGACGCTCTCCGAGTATAATAAAGTGCATAATAATTAGGATTTGATATCAAAGATGTACTACAATTTAGGACGCAAGGGAGTAAATGCATGTACAAATATACACTGTTTGTGGGCTCACGAGTACTTATTTTGAATTCCTAATGCTACCGAAATCTTGGTCCGTGCGTATTTAAAATAAATGCAAAATTCATTAACTATGCGCAAATTGTTTGCTTGGCCTTTATTTCTAGTTCAATTGGTAAATACAAATTAATGTTATTGTTCAATTAAATACATAATCCCTAATTATTACAAAGTAATATCCATATGCAAGGTTAGCCACAAAAGCATAAATGATATATATTATAAATATTAACAAATCTAAGTGGTACTTAACAAATTCTCACAACAAGCATAAGCCGTCAATTCCTTGACAGTTGATGAAACAGTACAAACTGGCTTCATTTTATAAATTGCGTAGTCTAAAAATTGGTAAGCACCATAACATTGACTCGGAAATTCAATGCGGAAAACATAGAAAGACTTAAACGATAAATCTATAGCTTGCAGCAAACTGTCACATTTCACTCCTTTTCCTTCAAATAACACAAAAAACTCGGTGAAGTCCAGGTTAAATTTGTTGCCCACTGCAACTACTTGCGGATGATTTGATGTCTTGGATGTGATCAAGCTTTGAATGTCCTCGCTGATTGTGACCTAAGCAAATAAAAATGGGCATGTTTGATACAAACAAGCACTACACAATCGAGACAAAGTTTCCAACCTTTATAAATGCCTCAGCTGCATCTATTTGTGAAATTTTCTTATTTTTGGGTCTAATCAATAGCGCCAACAGAAATAATGCCGACACATCCGGACAGGCTAAATATATAATATTATCGTTATTTCATAATAAATATAATATTAATAATAACGTTATTACTGGAAGACATTTCAGAAGAAATCCCAATAGTCGATAGCGATCGTTTCATACTTTCTCCGTAAGCAATCAATTTTGTTGCCACCTTGCTCCACTCGTGAAATAAATTGTCCGACGACAACGGAAACAATGAGGAAAAATCATTTTGGATCTGGAATTATCATTGCATGAATTTTACCTGTGGCCCCGGAAGCGTGGGGAACAATGTCCTCATGGTTATTCGATGTCCCCATCATCTACACATGTTACATAAACCCCTCCCTTCCCTATCCTACTATATTAATGTCCCCACGGGTTCTACGGCCACAGATTTTTAGCTAAATAGTATTGACATGAGATCAATATAATGTGACATACCGCTCCATCGACATCGAATAGTCTGGGCCAACTGGCGACAATGGAGCTAAAATCTTTTGCTGTCTTGACAAAATCCTTCCGCGTAAAAAAAGTCTGGTTCAGTTTTTCAAACACTTTCTGAGGGGGGCCTTTATTACACTTTAACCAGTCCTGTATTTTCAAAATCTCGTCCAGGGAGTCTTTATCTACACAACACAAAAATAGTTGAGCTATCCGATTGTATATGTTTTATATATAGCTAAACCTTTGTTAGCAACTTCTGTATCGGCGTTAGTTTCAGTGTTGGCGGAAGGCTTATTTGTATTCCAAAAGTTAACAAACCATGACTGAATATATCCCATTGGACGCTTACTTATAGCTTTTCCCTGTTGATCTTTATACGTGCAAGAGGGTGTGAAATAAGACATCTGCAAATAATTAATGCCAAGAACATGTTATTTTTTTGTATCTAATTATCGATCATTAACTTATATATATATATTCACCTGCAAATTAATGCGCTCCTGAGAACTCATATAACCGAAGAGTTGATTGACGATGCACGCTGCTAATTGAGACCGTTGGTCAGTGGATGGTCGACTGGAATTTGTCTTACTCATTAAAGTATGGCACGCAGTAGCCACCAGTTTTTTTCTTAATTGAAAGTTGAGGGGGTTTCTGTTTGCTGCAGTATCAATAATTTTTTTGCCGTTTGATGTTCTTGTCTCTAAGTCAGACTTGGTCAGGATCGCGTGAATGTCCTAAAAAAATATTACAAATAAGTATTAATACTCATACATAAATTGTTCGGGAAAGAGTATCAAAAATATGAAAGCTGGCTTACAATTATATCCGGTTCCTCGCCATGAAATAGCTTCCGCCTTTTTGGTCTGCTGTGGCGATTATCTTGTGTTAAGGGAGTTCTTGGTCGTGGTGGGAAATCAGAATTGGATGGGTCTGGAATTTCAATATTATTCAGGGACTGAACCTAAATACAGACAATATGCAATGATTACACAAGCACAAACTCCTTCATAATACACAAAATCAGTCCTAGAATTTCTACCTATTTATTTAATTCTCACGTTACGAACATGTAAATGGCAACTTCGTCATTATATTTTCCCCGGTGGCCTTCCACAGTAACGGCTTAACTAAATCTAATTCAGACATGTTACAAATGCTGTGTTTTTCCAAGTGTCTGACAAGATAGGCATGGTAATGTTCTTCGAAGTGAATGGTATGAAGATGCTGAATTAAAACCGTAAAATTGGTTTCAATTTTTAGTATCATCAAAACTTTCACAAATTTTGGCATTTCGTCCTCATCTAACCACTTAAGTAAAACTATGTCATTTGGTTTAATTTTAGTTCCGTTGAACGATACGCTTTTATACGTCATTAAGAACATTTCTGAGTCGATTGATAATTCGTTGCACAAAATATTTTTATACTTTAAGTCGTGAACGACTGATAATGTGCACTCTTGTGCAACAATGTCAATTTCTTCAACCGATTTGTTTTCAAAAAGTTTATAGCTCAGCATAAGTTGATTCCTATTTGCCACCGACTTTGCAATATTTTTATAGTTTGATCCGACCTTCGCAACTTGCTTGAAAAATTTTGTCTCGCCTCAAATCTCATTGACCAATAGCAGAGTAATGGTCCTATTTGCCTTATTGCTTCCGGATAATGCAGCATATGGTGGTGTTTTGGTCGCAGTGATCTGTTGCTAACAATTTGGAATAAGTTGTGATGATCCTCAATTAATGCTTCCAAATAAGGCAGGCTTGAATCTGAGATGTGTGGGCTCATAATGATGTCCATTATATCCAGAAATGTGAGGAAAAGTCTCCAGTGAGGAGAATTTGGTTCAATTTTATCTCCAAATAAAAATGCAAAATTTTGAAGAAGGCAATATGTCTGCCCAGCCGATTGTCCAAATAAAGTTTCGGAAGATTCGATTGTTCCAAGACTCAAGGGTGACGGCTTGTCCTTACCTAAATGCCCATAATTATGCGCCGATATTCTATTATTAATTTGCTCAATATTTGTCACTCCAGTTTGAATTAAATGCTTGAGTACGAGTTTCATATTTAAGGGTGCAACTCCTTCTAAGATATCGTGCATTACATCAGGACAAAAGTTTTCAGTAACGTGGAAATTTGGAACAGAATTAAACACTGAATCGACTTTCACGCCTGTTTTTGCTAAGTTGCCAATTTTTAGGTCTTCTTCATAATTAATTTTGGTTCGACGATGTAGAGCAGAATCCTTCCCAGATTTTAAACACTTAAATCTTGGCATGCGACAAAAACGACAAGGATAATTGGAAACAAAAGACTCTGAAAATCCAAAAATTTGGTGCAATCCAAGGTTATCACCTGTGACTTGACCTAAGCAAACTTGAACTTCCCCAGTGTACGATTCACTTGATATTTTTAGCGTCTCCTCGCATAAATTGGTTATTGCTGAAATTGGTTGCTGAAGGATTCGAGATATTGGATATTGCTTCAGAAGAGTTGACTTAAATGAGCAACATAAGAAAATATTGTCCAATTTAGAAGAATACTTATTAAAAGAGTTTAATATTGAAAAGTAACAATTTCCTAACTTATGTTGGCCATGGCGAGATCCGAGAGGATTACACACTTCCACTTCATCATAATAAAATATTAAAAACACGACTGGCACATCGAATTTGGCTAATTTTTGTTTCAAATACTTGCCACAAACTGGAGATATATACACATCATTCTGAATGTTTGAGTTAATTTTAATAATACTTTCCATCAGTCCAGGTAGCCCCAAAACTTTTTTAAGAACTTGATCTATTGGAATATATTGTAATGTATCAAAGCAAACAACCGATTTCCCATTTTTTCGTTTAAGATGCGAATCCAGTACAACTTCTTGCGCCGGAATTAAAAACTCAAAATGTTCCAAATATTTTCGCAGCAGATAGTCACTTTCTACTGATGAGAATGGGTTCTTGAGCTGAGTTAAAAGATCAGTTGACTGTTCCACAGTGACAGAATTTATGCAAATATCTTTAGAGACGTCAATAAAATCATTGATAAGATCAGTTACAGAAGTCATTATATCCTTGCACATGACTAAAGACAATTTTCCATTACTTTTTAAATTAACTACGAACTTGACGGCTCTTGAAAGTAATTTGCTTATTTTATCCTCCAAGTCTGGCCTAATGTCACATTCAATGGAATCATTTTGTTCGGCTTGGTTAATTGGTAAATTCTCTTCTTGATTTTGCAGTACATTTTCTGTACTCATACTAGTGGGCAATGGCTTCGAGCTAATGTTTTGATTCAAGTGACCTTTAACATGGAGTTTGAAATTTCTGAATCGCTGAAGCATCGATTTGCAGAAAGGGCACTCCCAAAGCTTTCGTGTCTGGGTCACGAAATGTTGGTAACGCATGTGGCCCCAAATGGAAATCCACGTACTATTTATACTTTTATTACATATTGTACAGTTCACCTGATTTGATGAAAGCGCATCGTTTCCTATTTGTCCGCTGGGCGTTGAAAAGGTCGTCTGATTCAATTGTTGAAGGATTAGTAATCGATGGGCTAACGGTGGAATAATTTCCTTCAGCTGCTCAACAAGAATTCCAGAATTCGTTAATAGCAGCAAATTTTTATCGGTGAGCAGGTTTTCTAACAAAATACACACATTTTTTTTTTAATCCTGGGATACGCAAAAGACACAAATATTTGTTCACAAAAACTTACCATGGAATATTTGGGAATATTGTTCAAGTTGCAAAACTTTTAGTATGTCAAAAATACCAGCGTACTCCATTAATTCTTCCATTGTTGGAAATTTGGATGTCACATCACATGTTAATTAGTTTTAAATATCTAATTGAGCAAGATTAATAATAAGTGCAGCCGATCAGCAGTGTGGCTTAGAATTTCGTCCTTTTTTAAATAAGCGCCTTCGGCCAACTCCCAATTAAGTACGCATACGTACTCTAAGTTATATGGGTGATGAAAATATGCGTACTTAATGCCAGTACGTAATACGTACTTAAGTTGAGTACGCATTCCGTGGAACTAGTACTCAATTTCAATCGCGATGTATTTGTCTACGGTTTAGTACGTATGCATATTATTTTATTTTTTGCCGTGTATGTATGTATACATAGATTTGCAGGTATGTATGCATATACATACATAGACTGTTGTACGCAATTTTTCAGAAAATGTGTTTCTATCTAATTAACACCATACACGATTATGTAATTTGTTTAGGTATTTTGGAAGGTATTAGATACATAAATAAAGTAAATAAGTATATGCCGTTCGCATTTATAACCATAGCTCATATTACACATAAGTTTGCTTTGAAAAAATTAGACATCGTTTCTTTCTGGCACCAAATTTTTGGAAAACCAAACGGCCATACATATATACGTCACAAGTCCAGATTACCATACTGTATTTATAGTATTTTTGGGAGAATAAATATACATTTATCGCCAACATACTTATGCAGCTTTTTGTGCGCAAATACATCGGATTAAATCCCACTTTGTTCATTAATAAGTAAAAGGTCACATATCCGTACACCATCACCGCTTCATTGAATGTAGAATTGTATACATGAACCTGGATATACATTTTCATGATTATGCATACATAATTAAACATCATGCAATGCATACGTGATAAAGCCCGAGTCAAGGTGGATGTCCGAACACGAAATTAGCACCATAGAGCTACATATATTTCCATTACGGTTTCCCGTGTCCAATGAGCATGAAAACTTATGTGATTTTTATGCAATAAAAATTAGACAACATGAGTGTGATGCAAAAGAACGTTCTGAATATTGACCTAAGACCCTTATAGGATACAAGAAAATATCCAGAGGGAATGGAAATCTGTTGTTGGCAAGTATGGAAGCACCCCTCATGGCAGATGGACATACATACATGCTGTGACACAAGGAGAAGAACTTAACGGACGGATACGTGGGTTGAAAAAACTTGACGTCAAAAACTTTCCTTCACGCGATATGAACATCTTGCAAAATAACAATAGGTATTTTTCCTGTATTGCGTGCGTTCGGTTTTATCGGAGGAAATCCAATTTACTAATTTAAACTGTAAAATTATATTTGCGACAACAACCTAAATAAATTGCACGACGTCGGGTAACCTTTACCAAAAACTGTCTGCTACAGACATAAAGGGTGGCCCAAATGTATCTCCCGAGGAATTTGTTCGCAAAATTTTAAGATAAAATCGGCTGTAATTCCTGAACCAGCGAATGTTTTATTTTGAAAATTTTACCATACGTAGTCAAATATGGAGGGTCGATCGTGACTATCATAGAATTCAGACAAAAATTTCGGTTGCGCAGCAATAAAAAATACATCAAAATTTGGAGAAATTGTGATATGGCGGGAAAATGGTAAGGCTACGCAGCAGCAGAAATTTTGTCAAATACAAAAAGCGGCCTAACCGATGTGGAAAGATGTCACCTACCCGAAAAACAACAATTAAGCTCCAGATTTACCCGAAAACCGAAGTTCGGTACTTAGTTTTTCAAAAGAACGAAGTGACTCAAAATGCTTGAAAATTATTAACAAGTAAATTTACGACACTACAATGTCGAAGGTTGCAAAATCAACGAATTCTAGTCAGACAACTTATAAACTAAGCAGGAAAACACTACTATCTCCATAGAACATTAATTAAAGTCTTAAATTTGGAGAAATACTTCACAAAAGTGGCGATTTGGGTGAAAAAATACAAGGTCAAGAACCTTGGCGTCATTTCTCCTGGACCATTGAATCCCGAATTAAGCTGTATGTAAAATTCAACCTACAAAATATGAGATACAAAACCGCAAAAGAATCGGATGTACGCATACGTGTGTTACAATTGGTATCGAAAGTTATGGTTGCGGGTGTTTTTTTGCGCGTGGCTTAAGAACCTTTCATAGCATACAAGTATGGCACATATCAAGGTAAAGAATTTTATAGCGAAAATGCAACCAAAATACTTTGATAGCATGAGAAACAAGGAATTTTTTCCAAATGTTAGTTAGTACTTTTCCTGCAAGATGGTGCTGCAAGTCACGCTTCAAAAACCACCATGGCGCTAAATGAAGGGAAGGGTAAAACGGTTTGGGGCAAGGGGGTGTGGTCTACTAAAAATCCTTATGTGGGTGTTTTGGATAACCAATGGGCAATACTTAAGGTGGATATGTACATGGATGCAGAACCATGCTCGACAGCAGAGATAACAACGAAAGTTCATGAAAAGTGTAATTTCATGCCAAAAATGACTTTGGAAAGATCATCATAGAGTTTCAACAAAAGCGATGAGGACATTGTTAGGGTGAATTATTGAAAGACCAAATACTAAGGTATGTGCGGAAATAAACATGGGCTCACCAAGTCACATGGTTTTGAAAAATAGGGTCTTATTCTTTTGTAAAACAAAGTCGGGAGATACATTTGGGCCACCCTTTACATATGTACATAAGTCACATTTTCGCTTCTACAGCAGCTTTGCTAGAGTGAAATTCATTTGAGCAATATATATTTTCGACATGAATATAAAATATTGCAAGATGGTGTTAACCCCGCTAATAATAATAACACAGCTTCTAATTCCTTCAACTATTTCATTATCCATGCCCAACTTATTTTCAAAATTGTATCCATTCCGAGAATGTCTCGTACATCTGATCAACTACGAAGGTCTAGACCTTCCACCGTCTCAGCATCCCATAAACCTCGCTGAACTGCTACAATTTCCCGTCGTGCTATCACGATACGAATCCGTTAAAATTACACAACTGAATAAACAGCTTTCCTCAAAATCCTTCCTGTACTCAGAATACCTTACAAATTCAAAGTATGGCACGACTAATTTCTCACTACTGTCCAAACTACCCAACAATCTAAGCAATGTTTACGGAATACGTCCCGACCACCTCTAGAGTCGACATAAACCGTGGATTTGTCAAGTTCAAGTCTACCTTTTCCTAGATTTAAGTGAATCAGAAGTTCCAACAGGGAGCACTAATAACTGCAAACGATTTCAAATTCCTGTTCAATTTTATAATTTTTGGAACAATTATGATAAGTCGAGTTATCATCATGGCGAGCAAGATAAATCGGCTTCGTTTTGGACATTAAATTCATCCGTTTTGACCGGTCCAAAGATTACAATCTTTGACAAAGCGTACCATGCAAGGTATCACGTAGTCGTTTCAAATTTCTCTGATCCTGTTAAGCAAAAGGTCCAATTGAGGAATTGGTATTTTGCGATGGATGACTTACTAGACGATTCTCCAACGGCAAGGGCTGACCTTTTAGTTTACACGGTAACTAGCGATGTCCAAGATAACACCATATCAATATCTGATAAAGCCTGGGTCGTATGCAAATTTTGTGTCGCAAATCAATTAATATCTTTCTCAACCTCTTGGAACATTTCTCGCTCTTGGTTAAACCAGATTTTTCTAAACGTAAGTCGTATCACGTCACATCAAATCCCTTTCGTCAAGATTCATAATTTCATAAATAGACGTCATGCCCTACAAATTATAGCGAAAACCTTACACTTTTCTAAAACCAGGCTGTGGTCTCGCATAAAATTGCGGAATTATGCTTTTTATGCGAAAAAATATGAAGAGTCGCTCCTTAACGAGTACCTCTTGCACACCTGGATTCTCCCCAACAGATCAAGCATCATTCGAAACGAGTTCACATATTCGCTCGTGTCAAAAAGTATCTCGAGTTCGTCCAAGTGTTTTAAATTTGAGAAATTTCGAAACACCGGAGTCAATCTTCGAACTGACAAGAATCTCGTACATTTCGGACCTTTAGAATATTTCACCTTTCTCAGTTGTGGATCTAACGAAATTAAAGGCTTTTCATGGATCGAGTTCGTATCAGCGTACCAAATCTGGGGTTGGATTGCAATTTTAAACTTTTACATTTTACCCGCAGTCGTGATTTGCATTTCGCAAAAATTTAGCACTCTAAAAAGTTTAGGAAAATTTAAAATCAATTTATTTTCCGGTGCGAAATTGCTCCTAGAACAGGGGGACGATTCGGTCGAAAGAGTGTCTCAGCTGCCCCCGTACTTCGTGTGGATCTCTTTTCCCTGGATCCTGTTCAGCCTCGTGCTCACAAACGGTTACAAAGGGAGCAATATTTCTTCTCTGACGGCCCCACTGGGTCGAATTCCGTTCCAAAATTTCTCCCAACTTTTACATCACAATTACTCAATCTACTCAAAACTGGGGGATGACACGCACCACAGCCTTAACCTCTTGTTTCCCATGCATCTCACAGAAATTCAGAAGTACATGATCAAAGGGAAGCTCACAGCCCCACCGGGGCATGGATTAAGTCTGGAACGACACGAATATGTGATGCAACATATCATTAAAAACGTTAAACAACACAAATTAGCGAAAATTTGGTATCGGAACAAAACTTATGATGGGTATTTGCAGTTATTGCGGAAATGCGAAAACGTCGCTTTGGCAGGGTGGTTGAGTGATTTGACCGTTTTGCAAGGAAATTTGGTCCGTAATTTGAGCCGATTCGTGGCAGAAGGCCGAGCCGGATGGAAATTTACGAACCACCGAATTTCGATCGGGACGGAGCCCCTTTTTTGGAGGCAGCTGGGTTGGACGGTGTATCACTGGGAGGACGTCAGGATTTTGAGAAGGATTAAAACACTTACGGAATCCGGCGTTGCGAAAGAGTGGGATGAAATGATTAAATATTTTTCGGGGTATAAAATTAATGTTCTGAAATCAATCAAAGTATTTGAGCCGCAAGAATTATCTGGAAATATTGGGGTTATATTTTTTCTCGCAATTATTGGATGTGGGGTTGGTATGCTGGCTTTCGTAGAGGAGTTGAGACGGAGAGGATTGTTGTACGTGAGGTTTTTGTTTTTTATGAAGAAATTGAGCTACAGAGTTTTAAAATTTATTAAAAATAGCCGAAAAAAATGATAAGGTGATGAAATACATACA